TGTCGGTGCTCTTTGGGTAAGGAATTCGTCAAAATAAACAGCAAAAATCAGTCCAAGGCACTCAAAAATGCAGAAAAACCCTGATGAAGGCAGTTGTTTTTATGGGTTTTTAAAAATTAGCCATGTGAAGATAAGCATTTTAATATTTTTTCCACATTTTTCGAGTGCCTTAGACTGATTTTTGCTGTTTGGCATTATTATTAATTTATGCTTTTGTTGCATTATGAGACCTTGATTTCTGCTTTGGCCACTTTTGATATTGCATGGTTTTACAAAGCAATTTTTTGACATTTTAAGCAGTTTGTAACTGTATATTGTGTGTCAGATTTTGTGTTAATCCAGGAACAAAAGTTAGTAATAAACTGCCAGTACTTTTCTGTTATTGTACATTTATTTCTTTGCTTATTCGTTAAGCATGAATAAGCCAAAATATAAGGGCTATTGCTTTCAAAAATACAGCTAAATTTATTTTGTGCAAAATTGTACAAACTTACATTTTTTGAGTTGAATTTTCCCAGCCGGTTTAGTGCACACTGACAAGAAGTCAACTTGAATGGTGATTATTTGTATTTTTTTTTTCACATTTCCTAATGAAATTTATCTCAAAAACTAAACTTAGGTAGTCTGAAGAATTAAAGAAATAAAGGTGATTTTTGAGGACAAAACCAAAAGTTTTGAAGTATTAATTTTGCATGAAACTAATCTAAAATGTCAGTTTTTTTTTTTTCTGAATGCTCTTTATATATATATATAGGGCATTTTGGGTAAGTGTTAAAATGCTTTTTCTATGTTAATTAGAAATGTAAAAGTCTGTTTGAGTTTGTGGACTTCTAAATGATTATGGTTATTATTTATTAATATAATTATGCAGCTGGAAGTGCATGTGTGAAAATGCATATAACATATCCCAGAGTAGTTGGTGGCACTAATTTAATGATAGTTAGTGTGGATAATGTAATTAATTGTTAATCATTTATTTATTTATTTATTTATTTATTTATTTATTTATTTATTTATTTATTTATTTATTTATTTGTTATTTTCCAGTCTATGTTTGGAGGCACTGCTGTTTGGAAAAATGTATTATTATATGCTTATACACACATACATATAATGTATCACACTTCTTTAAAAAAAAATCCCTAAAGTTTGCTCCTAAAATTTTGAACATATATATGTATATATGAAAAACAATAGATCAAATATTTAAATAAATTAGCAATTAAATCCACAATTTCCTGCATAAATAAAACAATAAATAAATATGAACATACATATTATTATATTATATTATATTATATTATATTATATTATATTATATTATATTATATTATATTATATTATATTATATTATATTATATTATATTATATTATATTATATTATATTCAAATGTTTTCTCAGTCGATGACTGAAAACAGATTTACACACATATTTAATGGAACACGTTACATTTGTGAAAATCTTTTTTTATCATAATTTGCAAACATGTGCTACACAGACAAAATACTCTGCGTAATTGTAATAAAGAATAATAAATATTTTCAACAAGTAAATACATGTTTTTACTTTAATATTTCAGTAACTTACTATGAAAATTATGCAAATACATATTTTTTACAATAAAATGCTTCTCGGATTATCTTGTATTATTTGATTTGTGCTTTCTTGAAACATTTAAGTAGAATTTAATTAGAATTTATAACATGTGGGTGTGGGTTGTCCAGAATATTCTTGATCACAATGCCGTATTGAGTTTTACATTGAAGGTATGAGGACTGAAATTTTCTGACAATGCCGTAAAAGGTAAGACTCTTTAAAAGACAAAGCAAAAAAGTTTGGTTTATTATCATGTTGTAGCCTATATTCTAATTTTAGTTTCTAATTTTAAGGTAAAACAAATGTGTTCTTTTTTTTTAATTAAAGCATTATTGAATGGCGATGTCTATAATTTACATTGTATCTGGGACAAGTGGCACTTTAAAAGCTTTTTCACCTTGTCACAAATGAGATTGGGCATGAGCTCATCAAAGCCATTAGAAAAGGATAGTGAGGTGTAGTTGAGAAGAAAAGACGCGTGAAGAGAATACAAAAAGTCACACGTCACTTAATAGGGATTAGCCTGTACACTGTGTGTTTGGCCTCTTAACACACAAGGGCTTATCAGAGATCTCACACCGGCTGGAAAAGCGCAGGACGGAAGTGGCACTACTCTACGTTATGCAGGTCATCAGATTCATTCCAGGGCAGCAACAGTTTATATTTCCCCAATGGCCCAGTTTAATGTGCAGACCTTTAGATGATGTAACTGTAAACTGACCTTTGTATTCATAACCGTATAGGGATCAACAAAAATAATGCTGTCATGTTGCTTGACCTGTATGAATTTGTTCTCGCTGAGCATGGAAGCTGATCTGAATGAAGATCTGTCAAATTGTCTGTGTGAGTGAGTTTTGGTATTCCAGTAGGTCATTTTATGATATTACAATGATACAAACACACAGAAATTATACTACAATAACACTGCAGTACTCTAAAGTTTGCAAGATTTAGTTTCATTGTTTTTTAAAAAGCCGATACATACACTCAATTATAGATCTTCAGGAAAAATGAAAAGCTGTGCAACTTAATTGTAATATTTTGTAGTTTTTGTAGTTGTATGTTTGTAATATTTTGCACTTTGTTTCTGAATACACTGAGAAGAAAATTAATAAAAATAAATAAATAAATAAACAATTACAAATTTAATTGAACAAATTAAATAAAATGTAATCAAATTTTTAAAAAATAATAAAAAAGTTAAATAAAAATGTATACTGCTTAAATTAAAAGGAAATATATACTTTTTATTATTGTTATTATATTTATTTATTTATTTTTTTACTTTTTGGTCCCTAGGAAGTTATAAAGACAAAATAATGTTTTGTAAAATTTTAATTAATTGAACAAAATAAAGTAATTTAGTTTACTGTTAGTTTAGTTTACTGAAATTGTGTGTGTTTTTATTTCAATTTCAAGAAAAATATTTTTGATTGATGATGCTATCAAGCTATAATCTTTTTACAACTCCTTTATTGTAATATCTGTGAAAATAAATATTACTGGAAAGGCAAAGTGATTTTATGAATAATTTCCATATTAAAACACGAATCATCATTTAAAGAAACTCCATGAACATTAATTATTAAGTTCTATAAAACTAAACAACTGGTAAAACATAAAACTATAGGTATTGTAAACTAAACATTTAAGGCATTTTAATAAACATTTGGAAAGCATTTCTGATAAATACAGTTTCACTATTGATATCCGCACCTTTTGCTGTTTGTTTTCCACTACGCAAGTGAGCTTGCAAAAGTCCTGCAAATGCAAAATGTTCATGCAAACATTTTAGTACTGTAAAACTAATCATTGTGCATATTTCATTTCAATACTTTTGCATTATTCTATTTCTATTTTAATATTAAGTACTTACTTTTAAGTGATTACAAACGTCTTGTGTGAAAATTGGAGAATTTTTTTTTTATTGTTATACATGGGAGAATGTATTTTTGTACCGTTTGTGTGAAAAGTGTTAAAAGTTTAGCAAAAATATATCTTTTGATTTATGTTAGAGTGTTTTTTATTCTTTATTGTAAATGAAAAAAGTGTGTTATTTACACAAAAAGAAACTTAAAAAAAACGTTTAATAAATGCGTTTGATGTTTTACTTTTACTGAAAATTCTGTTTCATAAAATGCAGTGACAAGGGGTTATACCTTCTTTGGTACAGCATTGCACCATTTTGTCTGAGAGTGTAGGGTTTGTCATAGCACTTGCAATGTTTTAATTTTAGTTTAGTTGCTGAAAGTAATTTGTTGAGCTTGAGGAAAATCTTTTAGTCTGTTAAAAGCTTGATTTGTTTAGTCACCTTCACTTAGAAGCTGGACAAGCTTTTCCTGAGCTCATTATGGGTGTGTGGTCACATTTACCTACTGCAGACCCACATATCACATATAGGACACCTAAAACCACTGTGATAGTAGAAAAAAAAGATAAAATACTTTTACTATGACACTACAATGCCAATTTCAATTTAGTACTAAATGTAACAACTTCCTTTATTTCAGTAAGTAAATCTTGATAATCTTTATATAGTTTAACATACAATAAAATTGTAACCGTAACTATAAAGAATGTGTATATATAATGTAAGTGTGTTTATGTGTGTATGCTTTCAATTACTAAAACACAACATAACACAATTACAAAAATCAAATAAAGAAAATGAAAAAGGCTTTTCAATAAATATTCAGTATTGCCACCTTCAATAAATATAGTGCATATTTTGTTTGTTTTTAAATGTGCTTTGTATTGAGTGATCTCATCATCCATTAACCAGACCGGTGCATAAGGTGGATCCAAACTTGTCCAGTAGATGGAGCTATTAAATAAACCCCATGCAGGGTGAAATAACAGAAATACACTTCCATGAGCACAGAAAAAAAAATACCAAACATCCAGCAGACGGTGCATTTATTTACCTCCAGACATTTTTCCTTTACTTTTTAGTTTCTTTATTATTTGAACAAAATATTGTTTAAGTGCTGTTTACTGCATATTTTAGGGGAAAATCCCAATCTATCAACAAATAATAATAATATATAATAATATAAATTATTTTAATTCTTTATTCTATGGACTATACGCTCGGGTACGTGAAGGTTTCCAGCTATCGATTCTGTTAATTAGATTTATATATATATATATATATATATATATAAAATGTAATCTATAATCATTTGCGCTACATTATTAGTTTTTTGAAAAGTCAGCGTCATTGCTGAAGTGTCATCGGGCACCCAGCAGATGGCGATCCTGCATAAAACGTATCAGTTTATTTTGTGTTACTTTAAATACTTAACCAACCATAGGAAAATAACTGAATAAAAGTACTACACAACACTTTTTACAGTTCACCTTGACAAATACAGCAAAAAAAACAACAACAAAAAAACAACAATAGATGTATAATACATATATTTAATCCCAGCCTCATTGTAAAGTTCATATTTTATACATATTTACAGATCAGACAAACACACTCCACTCTTAAAAGAGAAGCTTTCTAGAAGTAAAGCTTCAATACATTTATTACAATTATACATTTTAAAAAGCCTTTTCTTGTCAGTTCAAACATAATTACATTCTCAGCTAACTGTGCGATCAATTGAGAAAACTGTTCTTTGGATAAACATTACTGTACCTTAACCATCAGATGATACGTTATGATGAAAATTACATGACAATATGTCAAAAAATGTTTGCCACAGAACTTGAGGTTAAAAACAAGAAAACTAATGCAGTGGCCGGTCAGACAGCGTCTCTGTGAGGTAAAGAGTTCTGTATGTGTACTGTCCGTAATGTCAATAGATCTGTGAATGTCTCAAAAGTAGCGGTGTTTAGCTTCTGTTTTGGACATTTTGGATCCGGAAGATCTTCAGCTGGGGTGCACAATGCTCTCACTCTCTAAAATATGAAAAGTGATAAAGAAAAACATCCAAAGGCTTACTTAAATTAATGATATTAGAAAAATCAGTAACAGGATGTAAAATGAGTTGCACTTTATGGTATGGCACATGCACAAAAAAAGTATTGAAACCTATATGAATGTACTGGTCATATTAGGTTACATTTGCAAAACTTACTCTATTAACAATTTTTTTTAAATAACACAGTATTTAACTGTAAAATGAGCTGTAATTTACTGTAGAAAAGTTATGCATTATGTTGTTGTATTTTAAAGTTGCATTGTGAAAACTACTGTATATTTTACAGTAAAGATATGCAATACTGTAAATACATATACAGCAAGATAAACAGTGCTGTAAAAGTAAATCAAGTATTTTTTGCGGTAATTGATTTACAGTGAGTTACCGGCAAACTGCTGCCAGTAAGTTACTGCACTGTAACAAATGATTTGATCAATTAGTCATGACAACATATGTTTTTATTTAATTGTAATTTGTTAAACTAATCATGTTATAACTTAATTTTATAAGTTACGCACACTGTTTTAAGCAAGCTAAGTGAGTTACGCAAACTTTACTATTAATGTTCATTTTATAAATCTTTACCTGTCTCATAGACCCTGGAGTGGTGCCGACCAAATAAATCATCCACAGTGGAACTAACAGGGTGGAGGAAAGGGTGAAGAAGCCACCGATGGCGTAACCCCACCAGGGGTACTCATACTCATTGTTGAACTTCAGAGGAGTGTATTGAACCAAGGAGAAGATAAAAGTTCCCTAAATAGGAAATAAAGTGAATGTTGAGCAATGTCAGTTGGTCTGGTATGCACAGTGTCACATTGAGTCTCATAAAAGGAGAAGGTCTTTCTTATGTTTGAGGAGCTGTCAGTGTGAAGACAGATACAAATGACAGGTGTCAGACACAGAATCACAGGTGGCATACAATCTCTTCCTACCTCTACAGCTCTCATGACAAGTTGTGGTTACAGTTTGATGAGAAAGAGTGAAACGTGGATTCTGGTTTTAAAATCCGCCAGAAATCGTTCAAAGGGACAGTTCACTCAAAATGAAAATTGGCATCCTTTACTCACCCTCCACTTTTTCCAAACCTGCTTGAGTTTTTTTATTACACAATTTGAAACTTTTTGATCAATATTGGAAACCGGTAGCCTTTGACTTCCAGAGTATTTTTTTCCTACTCTGGATGTCACTGGCTACTAGTTTTCAGCACTTTTCTGAATATCTTCTTTTGTTTTTGATTTAGGAAAGGAATAAATAATAATAGGTTTGGAACCACTTAAGTGTGAGTGAATTGTGTGTGAACTATGCCTTCAACATTTTTTGTGTGTTACATTTTTTCTGAAATGTTGCTTTAGATATGCAAATTAGGTGTAATTTGTTTGCATACATTTACATAGCAAAAAAATCTAAACATTGGATTATGTCATGTTTAAAATTTTTGTTTAATTTTTTTAACATATTAGAGTCAAAGGTTTTAAAGAGATGATTTGAGTATTTTTTTATTTACTCTATATTTAAAAAATACTGCAAATAACCAGAAAAATAAATACATTTTCAGATATTTTATAAAATAAAATGTTATAAATAATCAAGTTATAAATGAACAGTATGGATATGGATGAAACTAATTATAAATATTTTTAAATAGTATACAGTTGAAGTCAGAATTATTAGCCCCCCTTAATTATTAGCCCCCCTGTTTATTTTTTTCCCCAATTTTTGTTTAACGGAGAGAAGATTTATTCAACACATTTCTATACATAATAGTTTCAAATAGCTCATCTCTAATAACTGATTTATTTTATTTTTGCCATGATGAAAATAATAAAATAATAATATAAATATATTAAAATAATATATATAATATAAAATAATAATATAATAATAGTAAATAATATTAAATTCAAGACACTTCTACACAGCTATGACATTTAAAGGCTTAACTAGGTTAATTAGGTTAACTAGTCAGGTTAGGGTTATTAGGCAAGTTATTGTATAATGATGGTTTGTTCTGTAGACTATTGTAAAAATATATACCTTAAAGGGGCTAATAAATTTGACCTAAAAATGGTGCTTAAAAATTGAAAAATGCTTTTATTCTAGCTGAAATAAATCAAATAAGACTTTCTCCAAAAGAAAAAATATTATCCGACATACTGTGAACATTTCCTTGCTCTGTAAACATAATTTGGGAAATATTTAAAAAAGAAAAAAAATCTAAGGGGGGCTACTTATTCTTACTTCAACTGTATATTTTTATTGTGTTATGTAATTGAAATCTACAGACAAAAATAGATAAATGTGGATTTGGGGTGTTTTCTTTAAATGAGACTCAATAAAAACATCATGAAAAGACAGAAAGCCTTACATTTTTGCTTGCAGCCTCTTGTCTTAAAAAATCTTTTATAATGGTACTCACTGTGCATATAGCTGGCGTTAGATATTTCCAGCAGCACTTCATAAAGGGCCATGGCCGATATCCAATCATATCCTCAACGCAATCATAGTGACGGTCAGCTCCTGGGCAAACAAAAAAACAAAAAAAATATTGTAAAACTTGTAAAGTGCAGTGTAATCTATTTGAGCACCTTTAATTTTCTAAGAATACAATCATTGACCAGGGTTAACATATTTAATTAAAGTAAAGTCATAAAACTATATTCATTTTTCATAAAATAAATTAAACATTAAATAAAAAATATGTGCATCGTATATTTTATTTTTTACCAAGAAATTAATCAATTTAGATTAAAATAAAATGTAACGAAAAATCAATTACTCAAATATTTATGATAAGCATGAAATCTAATTCAAACCATTTAAAATAAAAAATTGAAAATAAACAAAACACTTTTTTAATAAATAAAGGCTCTGGAACCTTTACTATACAACACTTTTAGTAACCCTAAAAACTTTTACTAAATGCACCAAATCAACTAATTTATACAGTATATATGTGTCTTAATACTAAAATAACCACAAACTAAACCATTATTTAAAAAATAAAAAAAATTACTTTAACTGGAATAGAATGTACATTTGTATTATTTTACCTAATTGTCCTGAAAATAGTCCTCGTTTTCATTAAACCTGTACTAAATGTCATAAAATAACTGAGCAAATATTTAAAAGCTAAAGAATTTTGCCAATACTGCGCGTGAATCTTCGATCTAATACTATTAAGCTGAAGTTCTCCTAATGTTTCACCAGAGGTCACCAGAGTTGCAAATGCATGCTCACTGCCGAGTCACTTGGGGGGAGCTCATCTTCATCTCCTTCTACTGCGCACACCTACCCCGCCCCTAACCCCCAGTGACATCACTTGTAGAAGAAGTGAAGCAAGGCTCTCCCTTGATGGAGCTCAGCTCTGCCCAAGTGGCTCTGCAGTGAGTACCACTTGGGGTTTCCATTTCATGTACACTCACTGTTCACTATTTTTTGTCTTTGTAGAATCAACAAAATTATTTACCATAAACCCATCCAACACAGATGGACTGAAGGATGGCAAAAGTGAGAAGAGTCATTCCACTACAGGCATAATAGTCGAAAAGCTGGAAGACATACAGACCACCCTGAGAAAGAAAGAAAAGACGAGACGTTTAAAAATATTACAGGCACTGTATGTACATTTAGCTTTTATTTGCTATTCTTACCTCTGTTACCATCAGCAGACCAACAAAAAAGCTGGCAGAACAAATGAAGAGGAGAAGAAATTTGCGCCGATGTCCAACTTGGAAGAATGAGGGATACATATCTGAGATAGACGTAACCAGGGCTTCCTGATACACAAACTGAAACAATAACAAGAAAATGCTTCAGAGGATCCATATTATGATGTAGCAGATATAATAGAGATCAGTATTTCTTTTAGTTTTCACCTCACTATCCAGTCCCAGAAATATGATCATGATAAAGAAGAAAATCGCCCATAGCTGAGGCAAAGGCATCAGAGCTACAGCACGGGGGTAAGCGATGAACGCCAAACCAGGACCTGCCACAAAAAAAAAAAAAAAAAAAATCACCAAAGAATTTTCTTCTTACACAACATGATCATTGCATTGCCTATCCCTGTGATTTCAAAGAGCCCTATTTTTTAATTATAAAGAGGTCAGGTACTAAAAAAGGTCATTGTGATGTTAAAAAACATCCTGTGAATTTCATAACTCAAAGCTTTCTAGTTAGTCTAAAAACAGTGTAAGCGAATCTGCCAAAAAATTACAAGCTGGCGAATGAGCCACTTTATCATGTCATAGTGAGGCCAAACTCCGCCTCCACAGCAGTAGATCAACGCCCACTTTTTATGCCGATTTGTTAAGAAACAAGGCACAGTTCAATGCAGGACTTTCAGAAAGAACACAAGTAAAAGTAAATGCTATGCTGACTATATTGAATCAGTACTATCTGTGTAAGTGGTTTAATTATGGGGTAATTTAAGTGTAGTGTTCATACATTTTAACACATTGCAACAATTCTGCTTCATTATAACTTTATAATAACTTTCACTTTTGCTATAATAACTTTTAACTTTTTTAAACTCTTTCCTTACCATTGATGAGATATCTTGTCATTTAAGAGATGAGTTTTTACAGCATTCTGTGTTTTAGGTGTAGTAATGTAAGAGAAGCCCTAGCGCATGTCTCGAATGTGTTACGGGGCTTTTAGGCGCAAAAGTATAGATCACATCCAAGGGCAGCACGTTCATAGAGGCGACCTAGGACAGAATAGTGAGGGTGGCCTCCGCAACTTTCCTTTGCCCTTTTACCTTCTTTATCGGGGCTAGCCACAGCGAAATTATCCACATTTGTCAATCCGGATGTGTGAGTTAAGTTGAAAATTGTATATATTTCATTGAACCTATCTGCATTCAAGTGTTTAACATAAAAACATGAATAAAAACAGAATAAAACTTTTTTTTTTTAAAGCAGTCTTATTTTTTATTTATTTTGATATATAAAAATGATCAAATAATTGATATTGAAGGGTGGCATAGTGGCTCAGTGGTTAGCACTGTTGCCTCACAGCAGGAAGGTCGGTCGCTGGTTCATGTCCTGGCTGGGCCTTTTGCCATTTCTGTGTGGAGTTTGCATGTTCTCCTTATGTTGGAAGACATGCGCTATAAGGGAATTGGGTAAGCTTAATTGTCTTTAACATATGAGTGTGTGTGTGTGTGTGTGTGTGTGTGTGTGTGTGTGTGTGTGTGTGTGTGTGTGTGTGTGTGTGTGTGTGTGTGTGTGTGTGTAAATGATTGTTTATGGGTATTTCCCAAAGCTGGGTTGCAGCTGGAATGACATGCACTGCATAAAACATGCTGTAATCGTTGTCAGTTCATTTAGCCGTGGTGACCCCTGATTATTAAAGGACTAAGCAGAAGGAAACTTAATGAATTAATATCAAAGACTATTCATATCAAAACATATTTTGAGGAATTCAAATTTAGGTGAAAATCACCGACTAAAAAATAAGGGAGGCTGCAACTTTCATATAAAGTGTGGCGTGGAAAGAGTTACAAGACATCAAGCCATAAATTAGCCTTTTACCTGACTCTGCCACCAACGAAATATCCACCCCCTGTTCATCTGCCATAAAGCCAAGGACTGAAAATATAGCAAAACCAGCCACAAAGCTAGTCAAGCTGTTGAGCAGACACAGGTATACACAGTCCCTGAAAGATACATATAAGAAGATGCATTATTTGTATTACCTTAATTTGCCATGAAAATAGACTCATGTGACTACAATTGCTGTAAAGAGTGTGATATAAGATCATCTAAAGTACCTGTAGCAGTTGTTGTCATATTTGTTGTAGCTTCCCAGTGCAGTCAGTACTCCTGTACAAACTCCATAGGAGTAAAATATCTGGCTTCCTGCATCCATCCACACCTGAAACATTAATATTTAAAAATCACCATTGGCTTTTAATATTTCACATGTAATGTGTTCACTGAACAAAAGAGAGCAGCTCAGTGCCTGTGGGTCTTTGAGACGTGATGGATCAGGATAGAGGTAGAAGGTGATGCCATTTATTGCTCCAGGAAGAGTAAGTCCACGAACCAGCAATACTATCAACATTAAATAAGGGAAGGTAGCTGTGAAGTACACCACCTGTAAAAAGAGACAGAGAGAGAGAGAGTTTCTGTCACACTTTACTTGTGCTGAAAATCCTACAAGTAATTTTTACATTGGGAAATTTCAATTATTTCAAATTTAATTTTTAATAATTTTTCCATTTTTTTATGAATTACGTCAAATTTGCTTCACAAAATGCAAAAGTGGCACTGTTGAGTGTAAGATTTGAGATATCACAAATATTTGACGTCTTTGACAATTCAAACATGAGCCGAAAACAGAGAAAATCAGCTCCACATCCCAGCAGGTGGGAATGCGGGAAAAAGACCAGCTCCCCCTCCTTTTCCTCTATTTACATTTGATTCCCCTGAAACCCCTTTGTTCAACCACGCCAAATCACACAGAATGGTCATCTCAAAGTCTGAATGTTCTAAATCAATTCAGGTGACTTTATCTATCAGGTTTGATATCATTTGAAATGTCTCAGTGCGACTGGTACAATGGCCTCATTCCCTCAGTAATAGACAATCAAAACAATAAATAAATAACTTCAGGTATCTTTTGAACCACTGTGAAGGGTGTGAATTTCCTATAGGCAGAAACTCTTCCACTAAATGCAAATGCCTTTTGTTATTCACACACCCCTTTCCTTGAGGGGATTCTTGGATTTACTACTTAAGGGAAAATTTGAAAAATGTTCTGCATGATTCTGCTAACCCAGATCAGCCTATAACATGAAGCTCTAACGCTCCATGTTATGTATATTTTGAAGTCAGGTATGCATCTTTTAATCTTGGATTTATCTTTGAGAATTTGATGTCTTGTATTGATCGTTTATGAATTGACTGAATGAATTGGCATAATACACATTTACCTGACTAATAAATTGTTATGTTTTGAATTATTCAAACAAAGTTTGTGTTATTATCTCTAGTAGATTACGTTAAGTTCATAGCACCACAAGCCCCTGTACAGGTTAGTAATGGACTAAAACACGGTAGACGGAGCAGCGTGGCACGTTATACAATGTTTTTAGAGATCCGACTAACACATTGGCATTAATTCATGTATACTTAGACTTTAAAAGGTTATCTAAGGGGATAGACCTTCTTCTTTTAAACTTATAATACTATTTGGATAGTGATTACTCAAAGTTACTAATAGTTTAAGTATGACTGGTCTGCTTGATTCTATAGTAATGATCATTATATGACAAAATGACTCTGTTCGATTTAGGAGATAACCTTCATCCACCAGTGGACACCGTCATTGGACCAGCTGGCTGGACCCTACATGAGTAAATTTTACTTTGCAGTGCTGTTTCAAGTACATTTTACACAGAATGGAGCACAGATTCATACAATAACATAATTACACAACAGAAGCAATATAAGGTACCCAAGCGAAAATATAATTTCAATGTTTGGTACACAGTAAATGATGGTAACAGTGTTTTTGTTCTTCCACCACACATTGGGCCCTATACACCCGGCGCAATACGGCACAAGGCACAACGCAATTGTTGTTTGCTAGTTTCAGCTTGGCGCATATGTGCGCCCAAAAATGAGGCGTGTTGAGATGCAAAGATCTTTGCAAATGAAACAGAATTAAAGAATTAAAATATTACAAAAATTATTATTTTCTAGCCTACATGAAAATAAAGACCATATTTTTATGCCTTCTTCTCTGGGGGCATAAACTTCTTTTGTAAAGTTATTATTATTAGCAGTATTATTTATTATATGCATATTTATAATTGTTTTATTAAAAACAAGCTTAGATTTGCCCACCTGTCAGGTTTTGGACCTTATGGGGCACAGCATGTGTATTAGGATATAACTATAATGAAATTTGTTCATTTGTTGGTTTGCTGGAGATTAGAACTGAATTTAGGAATAGTTTTGGAACAAACCTTTGCACTTAACAAACAAAATAATTATGTATAGGCTAATAGATGTCTGTGCGTACAACATGTTTCCCTATCCATGAGAGTGAAAGTGAAAGTAAATAATGAGGAGGCTCATCTCTCATTCTTGCGCTGCAGATGGTCTGTTTAACTTTTCTCTCTAATGTAGGGTTCAGATTTTCCACTTACAAAGTCCCCCATGTAAATAGCAAATGCACCATGGCGTGACGCAACTGGCTCTTAAAGGGAATGGGAGATGAGACTCTGATTGGTTTAGTCTCAAAATACACCTATAACTCATTAGGAAAATAAGCTCAACTCTGTTAGACCATGCGCCATGGCGCAAAGCAGATTTTTCCGTCCTTAAAATAGCAAAAGTGGATTCGGACACCCCCTTAATGCATTTGCGCCCTGCGCTTTGCACTTTGCACATGGATCGTCAAAATGGAGCCCATAGTGTCTAAATTTGCTTTCACGTTTTACTCATTCAAGTGGACTAAATCAGTCCCTAATGGAAACGGTAAATAAGTATATTACTAATGAGTGCTGCCATACCGCTATTGCAATACAACTGAAGTACTTCTACAATACAACTGCAGTACTTTCCTGCTCGGTGGACAATATGGTTTCCAAATGAGGTTTCAATACCTCAGTTCTATTGCTAAAGTACTGTACCACAGTATATTGTTTTGCACTTTTCAGAAGAATAACTAACAACAGAAATACATCTACAATACAAAATAAAACTAAAGGGCACTTTAATCCTTTATACCTAAGTGCAATAAATTATTTAACATAACACTTTATTGCCTCTTTCAGTTTATTTAATGTTACTTCAGATGTACTGAAGATTTTACTGCAGTTGAACATTATTGCATTGTAGTTGAGCTGTTCATACCTCATTATTCAGCAATTTTCCAGTTGCATTGAATTTTGCCACAGTCACCCTTGCAGGCTACTGCTGTTGTACTGCTCAGTACACTGCAGTTATTTTATATTAATTGTTTTTGCGAATAAACTCTTAAAATTCTAATTAGAAAATTACTTGAATCCAAAAAACATCCCTGAAAAAATGACAAAATCTACTTGGAAGATGTTGAAGAACAAACCCTTTGGAACACAAGTGCAGTACAGTTCTTACCACACCATTAACATATAAGACTACAACAGCACAAGTGCAGTAAAGACAGAGTGTACTTGTTTTTACTCCAGTTTACTGCAACTTACACGGCTGTTAAACTTTATTGTATTGTATTTTAACTGTGCTTATACTTCATTGTATTGCAAATTTGCAGTTGTACTTAATTTTACTACAGTTATACTTCTATACTGCTGTGTTTTACTTCAGTTTATCAGTTATTTTTTGTAAGGATTGTATTCCACACCTGTGCCTTAGCTTTTGTATTTCATGCCCTATGTTTTGTTGCATTCATGTTATGTCATGTTGGAACGTTTTTGAGGTCAATGCATGAAACACAAAGATGTGATTATAAGGCCAAAGTTTGGAGAGTTTCCACAAGAAAAACAGGCTCAATGATTGAAGCATTTTATTAATGGTAAATATATTGGATATAACATAATTATTTATGACTTTTATCTAAAAATTTCAAACTAAAAATTTACTCTACGGAAATAATTTTTTATATACATTTGAAGTCAGAATTATTATTATTACTTTATAAGTCATATTGTAGATATAGATTTTTTAAAGTGTTGAATTTTATCTGTAAAATAAATAAAAAATTGAGGATTGCTCTAAGCACAGTGAGTTTAACTTACTGGAAATAACATGTTGCACTTCCAGTGCATGAGAACACAAATGTACCATTCCCTTTGTGCATTATATTTGTTAAAACACCTCATTAAAGTTCTCACCTTGCCTGTGGACTTCACTCCCTTCCACACACAGAAATAACAGATGATCCAGGCCAACAGGAGGCAGAGAGCCAAGTCCCATCTCACATTACCAATCTGTTCAATTCCCCCAGACAAACCTAAAATCCTTCTCCTGTAGGCAGAAAACAAGGCATCACATTCTGTTTCTTTGCTGTGAATCATTATAATTAGCCTGATATGTTTTGTTGTCTTTTATTGCCTCAATCCTAATGAATATGCAAGCAATTTCCAATAACTTACTCCCAAAACTCTATAACAGGAGATGTGGTTTTATTTGGTGAATATTCAGTAATGTTGCTCTCGCTGAACTCCATGCAGCTTGCTAAATTAAGAAAGACAATGGTTATTTAAATGACATAACCCCTATATTAAAATCATTTTCATGTGGATATATGAAAAGGCATACGTGTGTTCCAGTAGTTGTTACAGCTTGCCCATGGCAGTTCTGAAGTGAAGGATGAGAAGAGGTAAAGGAAAGCCCAAGCAAGTATAATAATGTAGTAGACTCCAGTATAGAGGACAACGACTTGACTGCCAAAACCAAGACCTGTGAGACAAATTTTAAAAAGCATAAGTTGCATGCATATTGAGAAGTCAGAGAACAGTAAATGAGATCTTTGCTCACCTTCGAAGAGTGGACATATTTTCCTCCAGCATGTGATTCCACCCTGACTGGTGAACTGACCCAGCGAAGTCTCCAAAAAGAAAAGTGGGATGCCACAGGTAAAGAGAAACAGCACATATGGCACAAAAAATGCCCCTGTGTGCAGAAGGAATAACAATGTTTTAATAGCAGCATAATAAACACATCAAAAATCCTGCTGTATAATCTAATTAACATTAGTCAGTAACCTAACCTGCCCAGAAGTATAATACAAATGTTAAAATGATAAAAAATGGGCATCTGAATATTATTATTTGTTTTATATGACAAATATACATTTTAAACAAAAAATACAATACACACAATACAAAACACAATATTTAAACATTGCTAAAACAAGTTTATTATAACTTGTTTGATGTTTTTGTTTATGAGTGATCACCAAGGCTGCATTTATTTGATCAAAAACAGTAAGAGTGAATTAATATTATAAATTAAAATCACTGTTTTCTATTGTCATAAATTTAAAACTATCATTTATTCCTGTTATAGCAAAGCTACATTTCACCATTGTTGAAAAGAGCTATGTCGCATGATTTTTTTGGAAGCCAAGATACATAGTTTTGCTGACCAAAAATCTAAAATGGCAGGTAAAAGCATTTACTGTCATTTTAAATCAAGTTATGCACCCTTGCTGAATAAAAGAACTTATTTCTTCTTCTAAAAAAAAAAATAGAAGAGTATTGGAGTTTAGAGAATTAAATATTAATTTAATAAATATTGTGTTAAAGGTGCAGTGGGTGATTGTCTTTTGAAACATTTTTTGTTGTGCTGGTTAAAAGTCTCTTCACATTTCAATAGTAATGATGATGATTAATGTAAATGATCTAAACGTATTTATATGTATTTTTATATTCTGGGTAAGGCATTAGACTAAAAATGTTTGTCCAATTAAAAATTGACAGGCCAAAAATTCCCAGAATTCTGATACGTAGCCCAATCTGTGCACCCGTTCACGCAGACAGATCAGCCATTTGCATGAACAGGTGCAGAAAGGGTGACAGCAGTAAAAACAAATGCTGAATCAAAACTTTTTCATTCATTCATTCATTTATTCATTTTCTTGTCGGCTTAGTCCCATTATTAATCTGGGGTCGCCACATAGGAATGAACCCCCAACTTATTCAGCAAGTTTTTACGCAGCGGATGCCCTTCCAGCCGCAACCCATCTTTGGGAAATCAAAACTTTTTTTAAATCCTCAATCAGTTTTGGAGTTACTTTTGCACGCTGGAGTAAGGACGACACCATGGCTAAAGTATTTTTTTTAGACAGGTAATGTTCTGTTTTAAAACTATTTTAGTCACGCAAAGCTGATGTAGATTAAGTTGTTTTACGAATAGGTTAAATGCACAGAAGTGTTGTTCAGCCACTGAAATCTTCAGACGAAAGACTGATGTGACTATTTTCAGTTTCATAAGGTCCTTTTACAGCATTGATAATGTAGATTATTTTTTAGTTTAACAACAAAACATAAGTAAATATTGCTATTCTACCTAGCCTGCTTTACTGAGATGAAGTTGCTTTTATATTCATTTTGGTTCACTTTTGAACAATGACAACATGTGACATGCTATGTTGTTTACTATGCTACTCTGAAGATTCACTTTGAAATAGCATGTAAGTATGACTTAGTAATAAGTGTAATTCCTGCACCCTGCCGGCCAACCACTAAGCACACAGTAGTCGCTTTAGGACAAAGCGTGTGAGTAAAGCCAGCGATCCTGCATGCATGACATATTGCACATTATGAACTGAAAAAGTGCTAGATGTAATACAGTGTTTCATTCAAGAATTGTAGTATTATAAAGTACTAGAAAGTTTTATAACTGGTAAATGACATGATCGAGTGGGTTGTCTATTGTCATCTTTAAAATGTATGTTAGTGATTTCATGAGGCGTGGCTTTGGACGGTAGAGAATGGACTGTGTTTTCAGAGCTATTATGCTAACAGTTAGCATTTTGGCAGATCAACAACTGCACCTTTAATATTCCCTTACTCATTTTTCTTAAAACAGAACACACTTGTACTCATACCACTGAGCTTCACGTACATCTTCACACAAGTGTGATCTCACAGTTCTACAACTGCGCCCTTTCCCCTAGAGAAACAGCACCAGATCAGCATTACATTAGAATGATTATTTGTTTGCAAAATACACATTTTAAAGGTCCTAAAATGTTTAAATGTTAGTAACCTGTTGAAAGCATGAGAAACGAGCAGCGATGTTGACCATCTCCTGACTCACGTAAACTCTGCCTTTGCACAGCTTGAATCAAAGTATTAGATAGGGATGAAAGCCACTGGCTGCTGGCCTTAAGAAAGACAAAATAAGGACGAATCAAGCCCCAGAATTGACCGTGAAAATGATACCGGCCCTGAAACAAACTGTACTACAATCTGGCAAGGTGGTGGAATGGCTAATGTCTGGTATACTGCACTAACAACATAAAAAAGGAGTAAAAGTCCATTTTGCACTCACCTCCTCCATTCTTGTAGCACAAGTAAGGAAACCTCCACACATTCCCCAAGCCAATAATGTGCCCTGCCACCGCCAGGAGAAACTCAAGCTTATTGGCCCACTGCTCTCTTGCTGGTGGTTTTGGTCTGGCTTTCACTAGGGCTCCATTCAAGAGGTTCAGCTTCACCGCTGGCCTTGAGCTGTGCTCCATGATGCTAACGTTGCATTGAAAAAAACAAACAAGCATATTTGCATTATGTGCAATTTTAGCCACTATATAACCATTTTCACTGCAGGTTGCCTCTAATAATTAACCATAAGAATACAGATGTGGTCAAGGCAAATTGCTGAAGTTCAAACCAAGCATCAGAGAGTGATTTAAGTGACTTTGAACATTGTATTGCTTAGCAAAATATGTCACTATTATATTATATTATATTATATTATATTATATTATATTATATTATATTATATTATATTATATTATATTATAAACTGAATTTAATGTCATTGAAGTATATTATACAATATAAGAGTATATTCAATATGTGCTTTGTGTTTGATAAATTACCTTTTTTATGCATTGGTTGTTCATTTAAATTTGACCAATCAGATCGGGCCTTACTATCTTTATCCCCACCTCCCCAGTAGTTGTTGTTCTGCTATTGGTTGGAGCGGTCAAAAGGTGAACCCAGAGCTCAAAATATATACTTATGGAGTAAAAAAAAATGAACAACAGCCAATCAAAATGTTTTGCTGAAGTTTTCACTTATGTTATTAAGACTAAATGTCTGCACCTTAAGGTAGATTTTTTAGTCTGAATTAGAATTAATTAGATCTAAAAACTATATTTTACTATCAGTTTGTCAGAGAGGAGGTCATACACGATGGTATTAAAGGCTTGACTGAAGTCCATAAGCAAGAACCTTGCATAATTCCCAGGTCTATCAGGGTGTTGCAGAAGATAATGCATATCACATATTTATTTAAAGTATCATACAGCCCATAACATTGTTGTTGGTGTAAAATGGGCTAATCTGAGTATTTCATAATCTGCTGGGATGTTCATGCTAAACCATCTGGAATTTACAGAGAATTGTCTGACAAAAATAGTTGAGTATGTGGCACTTGTTACAACCAAGACAGAACAGCACCTCTAAATGCAAAATACATTAAACTTTGAAGCAGATGAGCTACAGCAGTAAAAGCTAAAAACTGGAAGCTGATGCTACAATTCACAAAGACCCATCAAAAACTGGACAACAAAACACTGGAAAAGGGTTATCTGGTCTGAAAAGTCTAACTTCTACAGCATTTGGGTGACAGTGTCAAAATTTAAATAAACATACGGCATACTTTATGCACCAAATATGTTATATTCATAACATGCATAATGTAAATACTACATTACTGCCATTTAGTTATTATGCAAACACTGAGCTGACATGTGATGTTTGGGGGTAGATATGGGCCCCTTGGGCTCATCTGTAGGATATGATCAGTGGGCTCTGCAAACAGCTGCACATGACTGGCACTGCACGTGTTTTTACCATGTGCTTTTACCTCTTACACAAACCAATGGTGCATCAGCATTATTAAGCCCTCATTATTGCATTTTGCCCATTATTGTGTCTTTTTTCATAATTTAAATGTGTCTAAATATACATTTCTTCAGTTTTTATATTCATTCAGCACTATTACCGAATAATATGCAAATGTTTATATGATTTATGTACAATGCCACTTGTAAAGTAATATTTTCTGTCTTTTAGTAGATATATTTGATAAGAGGCTTACTATGTTCTATTGCAAACATTAAATTAAAGTAAAAAAATAAATCCACACATAAATCCGCAGATTTCTAAACAAAATTCTGCATAGAAATAGCAGTCCCTGGTCATTATCGACTGAAACGTTTGCTCACATATATGTTTTGTTTACATGTTACCTTCTTTATACTCTCAGCTGACCTTGCACAGTACTGAAGTAAAAAGCAAAAACAAGTACACATCATTGCAGTCAATAGAAGTCAAATATTAGGCAGTTATTAGGCAAGACTTGTTTAATTATTAATTCAGAATTACAGCCATTGCCACAGGCATCCTTAAATATAACCTATGCGCACCATAAACAACTAAAATGTAACAACTTATTTATTTTACTCTGTTTTTATTTTGTATTTCCCTGTTTTGAGACTTTTTATTTACAAAATGTGATTCCCATGCATTTTTTGCTACTTGGAAAAGAAAAAAAATGCTTAGAAAGCGGACAGAACTTTTCCAAAGTCTCAAAATGCCTATGTTTGGCACATAGTCTTTGTATTCTTTTATTTCTCAAACACCATTTTGGAAAATATTGGAGAACTGACAAGCAATTAACCTCAACCCCAGGTGAAAGCCTCTAAGACAGATGAGTTGTGAGATAACTTACACACTAGTTTTCTACTGGGTCAGGCTGTGTTCATACTATCTATTCAACATCTTAGCTAAAATGAATGCATCACCTGTGACATTACATAATGTTATCAAAACAGTGCTTTGACAAATGCACACCGTTATCAAAACTAAAATTGATCCTAAAATTGCTCGCTATCAGACCCTGAGAAGAAACACTCTGTTATGTCAAGTCCAATGACTTTAAAGGGGGATCAGGTCATGCTGTAGTCAATTTATTATTGAAATAAAACATTGAAATCTCATCCGAGAATGTCACCATGTCTGTAATGGTCATTGTAAAAATAAAAAGCTGGATAAGTTAGGGTTAAATATACTGCCAAACATATTACATGACAGAAATATGTAATAAACTGCATTAAAGAGTCAATTGTAGACTCTTAATTGGGTTTTTACTTGAATACATTTTTCTTTGTATTAAGAATCTAATCTAATCTAATTTTTGGTTAGGCTGTGCATATAAAGCAGTTCAGCCCAAACCAGGCTGCACGGCAACTGATGCTTATTTGAATAAAAGGCATTGAATGACAATTAATAATCAAACTGCAGTAGACATACTGCAAGCACACAGCTGATACAATACCTGTTTTCTTGGTCTTTTCTTTAAAAAACAAACAACAACAGAACTGCTGCTGTTACCTGGCTAGAAACCATTATGTAAAAAGCAGTAAATAAGCAATCAAAATATACCTGGTATTTGGGAAGACGCCGTCTTGAATGTCTTTTTTGGAGTGCCTGTTTGTAGGTTAGTGGTTTAAAAAAAAAAACTTCCTCAAAGAGAAAGCCTGAGGAGTGGTCAAACCGGCTTCAATGGCTCCTGAATAAGGACTGTTGGTCCCGAGCCGTTGTTCAAAAATCAGGTTTCAACTCTTGGCTTATGTTGTAAACAAGACCATGCCTACACCATGTTTTGGTTTTGTGTAACCCCCTTTTATAGGGCATGTTTTTTTAAGAGATAAAAACAGAAGTGTCTTATCAGTGGGGCAACTGACAACCAAATGGTTTCTTTCTCTCTGCTCTTTGGCACTTTCTAGATCTTTCTCCATCACTGAGCCAGTCTGAAAAATAATGTACAAACATTCCACAAACAAAACAGAAAAGAGAGGGGATTTCAGCACAGTACCCACCAAAGCTGGACACCACCCTGTTTGCAATGAAAGAATGCTGATATAGCCTACCTGAATAAAATGAGTTTTGTTTGGTGCATCAGTAAGCAAACCAGCCATTTCTGCAAAGCTGACAGCACATATCATATTTCTGCAAAAGCTGACAGCACATATTGAACAATACCCTAGTGAGTGGCTTAAAGCAAATCAAACTGTTAAGGGTTCTACCGGTTTTTTTACATGTTCAAAAGGTCAACAGTGTCATCTTGTGGTGAGTATAAGAAATGCGCTTTCCCATCGCGACAGTTCGCCAAAAAAACAAACATTCTTTTACTATTTACTCGCCGTTGTGAGTTTCTTTTTCTTTTTTGTTGAACTCAAAAGAAACTATTTTGAAGAAAGCTGAAAACCTGTAACCACTGACTTTTTAGTAGGAAAAACAAATATCACTGAATTCATTTTCAAAGTTTTTCTTAGTAACCTATTTTGTGTTTAACAGAAGAAAAAAACTCAGAAGTTTGTAAGTAAGGGGTGAGTAAATTATGGGGGGGGGGGGGTTGCACTATCCCTTTAACGATTAATGATCATAAGTTGTTCATAACGTTCCATTTGAGAATAAATTAGTACAAGTAGCCAATCAAATAAATGAATAAAATAAATACAATTGATGACAAAATATGATAAGGATTTAATAAATAGTAAGAGTTATACTATTTTTTAAATAAATATTGAAATGCAGAAAGTTACAGAGGCCCTCTTTGAAATCCACTTTTAAGATGGTGATCTTACTAAGAAATCATGCTGATGTCACGTTACTATGCCGCTAACTGTCTCATAGGGAACCTCTTTGACTGGTATGAAGAGGACATAAAAGTAAGAGGAAGGGTTTGGCTTGAGGACCTCTCTACCATTGTGAATACAGAAACAGATTTACTCGATACGGTTCCTCTGTATGGCAAGCCAATTTAGCATTTATAAAAGCTAGCCAACTACCAATTTTCATACTAGTAGGCTAACTTATTTTATTTATATGCATGCTAGTATCATTTCTATTAGTATTAGTGCTTATTTAATATATTTTTGTATTTATTTATTTATTTATTGCTATTGTATTATAAGTACCATTTTAAGAAATGGGCATATTTTTACAAACATTTTTTTTTTATAATAGACAATTAGTGCCTATTCATTGGATTAGGTAGTAATAGTTGTAGTATTAATAATAGTTATTAGTAGCAGTATTGGTAATTAGAATCTAATACTCAGAGCTTAATTTGTGAATTGCGAGGTCCCGGAACAGATCGGGGTAAAGCAACCGTCATGTTGCCCGAGGAGGGGGGATTGTCGCGGAAAAAAACGGGACAAAGCAGGGGGGTGGCAGGGATCGCTGGATGGTGAACGAAAGTAGCATGTATGAGGTGCATGGTTAAGAATATTGTGGCAGAAGCTGTCAAAACTGACCTCAGCAGAGAAAGACCACAGACCTGAAAATATGACTGTAAATTACCAAATCTTTTTTTCAGTCAGTTAACTTGTAATTAATGCCCATTTATATAGTGAATATATTGTGTATTGCCATATAACCAACCCACTTTACAATTGTGTGAGGGTGTTTTTTCAACACCACCAGGGTGCAGGTTTAAAGGAGAGACAGTGACAGAGAGGATTCAGTGGATGTGGATGATTCTGAGGCAATGATGGGTAGGGAGCAATAGATGGGATTTGTCCAGGACATAGGGATACACCGTTACTCTTTACGAGAAGTGCCATGAGGTATTTAATGACCAGGGAGAATAGGACCTTGGTTTAACATCTCATCCAAAAGACTTATGACAGTGTAATGTCCCCATCACTATACTGGGGCATAAGGACCCACACATACCACAGGTTGAGCACCCCCTGCTGGCCTCACTAACACCATGTCCAACAGCAATCTAGTTTTCCCATCCAGGTAACCAGGCATGAGAAGCATCTTGAAGAGGACGGAGTATGTCAAATATTGGAGAGCATTTGATTTGTCAAGATTTTTTGAGAAACTGAAGTATGATGTGACAAAAAAGTGTATCCATTAGGCATGCTGCAAGCTTTGGGTATTTTTATTACTTTTATATTTTCCAAACACGAATGTTGTCACTGATTTGTAGTACAGTAGTTTATAGATATACTTTAAAAACTAATTTCACGGGGCCTTTAAAAGAAAATGGTCACACTTTACAATAAGGTTTATTAGTTAATGTTAATTAATGCATTTATTAACATAAACAAACAATGAACAATACATTTACTGCAGTATTTATTCATGTTAGTAAACGTTAGTTAATGAAAAAACAGTAGTTCATTGTTAGTTCATGTTAACTCAGTGCATTAACTAATGTTAACAAGCATGGACTGGGATGTTAATAATGCATTAGTAAATGTTCAATTATGATTAATAAATGCTGTACAAGTGTTGTTCATGATTAGTTCATGTTAGTAAATGCATTAACTAATGAACCTTATTGTAAAGCGTTACCAAGAAAATAAACTAATAGATAACCTTTAGTTTAAATTGTTCAATCGCTAACACTTCTTCCTCCATCCAGTAGAGGGTGGTGTTGTCCTCGAACCGGGCTGTGCAAGCATGTGAAGTCTTTGGTGAAGTAATTAGTGCTACACAAGTGTGCCGCAAGCCTACGTTTGAGTGAAGGTTTCGGCCGTTAGATCGCCCCCTGGGGGCTGGCTGCAGTACAAGTCATAAAGCCCGCCTCCTCCGTGTTAATGAAGGAGACTTGAGCCCAAATAAAAAAAAATATTACACTTGCAATAAAATGTCCCGAAAGATAGTTCTGGTCGATTAAGGCACTGGTTATTGTGCTGAAATAGGTGCAGATCTTCATTTTTGTAAACAGTTTGTTTTTAGCAGTAATTTAATGCTGGGCGTGTCATCGTGATACACAGCTGTGATTGACAGTTTCTCAAAGCGCGGCGTCTGAGCTTCGGCAGGAGACTGAAGTAGACTGAAATGTTATTATTCGATTTCTGTGTTATTTTACCATGACAAAATGAGTTCAGCAGTAAACTACAGTTTCTGACATACATGATCCTGGTGGAACACTGTTTATTCGCTAAGTTCAGGGCTTTTTTCGGGCTTTATTAGTTTGCTGATACACGCCTAGCCACCCAGATAGCAAAACACAGTTCCGGCTAGATTCTCGCCTGCCGGAGACTTATCTCTTAGAGCTCAGACTGACTAATGTTACCTCTGCTGGACCTACTCCGGATGCCTGGACTCACTGCCCGATTCCAGTCCGAGTCAATCGAGCCTGATGCGGCGGCCGAGCGAGCAGGCGCTGCCGCATGCGAGTCGGAATCAGCCCGCGATGCCGCGAGTAAGTTATGCGCTGCGGCCTGGAGCTGGCGCGATTGAATATATAAAACCCTCATATTTGTTAACGTTATTACATCCATTTGTGTTGATATGACAGCAAACGCATGCTGAGAAGTTCGGGGGGCGTAGTTGATTTTACATAAAGCGTTTGATTGGAAGCTCGACTCCGCTCATTTTCGCGGCTCCTCCTCTGGCTCCATCAAACAGTCCTTCTGCGCATGTCTGGCTCCAATTTCAGCAGTCTTTTGCGACAGTTTGTGCCCGTCAAGCAGGCGTTTTGCCCTCAAGGCGTTCAATGGGAAAAAGGGCTGTCGCGTCGTCCATATTTTTTACAGTCATTGGTGCTACAAAAGGAAAAATCAGGACTTTTGGGTGCTCTCTGTGAAAACTAATTCAAAGAGAGGCAAAAAGGTTTTTGCCACTTTTATCTCCTGAGTCCTGACTGATGAAGGGAACAAGGTATTGTTTATATTTTAATCAGTAAAATTTATCTTGAAAGTTTATAGTTTGTTGACGGTATTTTGGTTAATGTTTAATTATTGTTAGCACATATATAAGGATTTTGAATATCAGTGATGTCCATATTATTTGTTAGTTTTGTACAAAAGGCAAGTGATTTATTGTTACTACTATTTTCTTATAATTTGCACTACAAATATAAGACATTCAGCCATAAAGGACTTTATTTTGGTCATTTCGTGTTTTAGATTAATCTCTCTTGCGGTCGTACAGTGGGTAGCACTGTTGCCTCACAGCAAGATGGTCGCTGGTTCGGGCCTTGGCTGGGTCAGTTGGCATATCTGTATGGAGTTTATATGGGTGTTTCCCAATACTGGGCTGCAACTGGAAAGACATCCATTGTGTAAAACATATGATGGATAAGTTGGCAGTTCATTGCGCTGTGGCAACCCCTGATTACTGAAGGGATTAAACCAAAAAAAAAAATGAATGACATATTGTCATTGTTAGTGTTATCAGATTGTAAATGTGTATTTATCAGTTTATTGGCTTGTTATAAGCATTTGTTCAATACAATTTCAGGCATATGTAATGATTATTGTTTGTTTGTTTCTTTTATTCAGCTCTTACAATGATTTATTTTGAGGATTAAACACTTTATAAACTTCAGTCCCTGAGTGTAAAGTGCATCTGTCAAGAAACTAGACATATTGAATGTTAAAACGGCCTGCCATAATATAGGGCGCCTGGAGGTAAACTGAAAACCCGGTGTGGATTTCAAACAGAACGCTTCAAACTTTTTGCAGTCCGTTCCGTTTTTACACCCTATTCCAGACCAGGTGGATGACGCTGTTGCCTGGTGACAGTAAGTTTGATGCTTGGCTTCTTTGACAACTTTTTTCAGAAGCGACAAATGTTACACAAATATATTTTTACAATCGAATCACAATGGTGCTCATAAGATATTGCTTAATGATAAAATGCTGACTGAATATTTTATAGTCATCTTCACTGTAAACATGATTACGAGCTTGTTTACTCTTCATAAAGACCTTGATTTATCGCTACAGATATGTTGTTGCAGTTTGGCAATAAAAACGACATCGATGCACGTATTTAGAAACATGTTGTCATTTATTGCTCTACATTCTGCTGAGTTAAGCTCCGCCTTAACTTGACATACACTTGCTCACTGACACACACGCGCGCGCGCTATTCTACGCTGTCGGTTCTGTAGGGCTCGTTTTCCCTGGCGAGAGAGGTGGAGAGAATGAGAGGGGTGGGCTTCACATTCAGTCAGAGTATTATAACCACCGACCCACGCTGATTTAAGAGTAACTTCACGGCCAAGTTAAAAGCGGCTTGACTTCCTGAACTTTTAACCGGACGCCTTCATCAGGTAACTACTCTGCAACCTTTGTAACCTGTTTGTATTGTTTCCAGTACCGTTTAAATGGACTAAAGAGGGTCCATTGAGCGCTGAAATCATCTGCGTAGGTAAAAAGTTTTCTGTCTGCCTTTTGTTTTTAGAGGTATTTCGCTTGGCACCCGGCGTCTTCTCAGCGTGGGTTTGAACAGCACAAGTGTTCTGCTGCTGAATGTAGGCCAAAGGGCACAAACAAAAGCGCAATAACTGGGTGAGTTTCCGTCTTCTCTGTATTCAGATCATCAGGGACCGTCTGAGCGCCGTGACTATAAACAGTGCGTCAGGGCTGCTGCAAGTGCTGTTTATGGTTATGATTAAGCATGAATTTCATCTAGATAACCTGCCCTACTTAATATGCCACCTGACACAAGAAAATAAATATATTGCCAGGGCAACGACTGATGTAAAATAAAAGGAGATAATAAATATATAGTATGTAATTTTTTCCTTAGATTTTTATTTAAATAACAATTTTTATAAATGTAGACGTGTATATTTTTATTAGTTTGTTTTACATTGTATTAATGCAAACTATGACATCTAATTGTTGATACATTTGACTTGTCAAAAATATTGCCTTTTTATTAGTTTTACATTTTCAATAATTACCAAACACAACAACAACAAAAACTTAAAATGTGCATGATATTTCAAAGAAAATAATGGTTATAATAATTAAAATAGAAAAAAAACTAAATAAATAAAAGTAATGGAAAATTATAAGTTGTTATTAATAAACAATTAGGGCATACAAAAAGTTTCAATGAAAATACAAAGGCAGTCAATGGGGTAGTGTGCATATTAAGCATTACACTGCTGCCCAGAATCCGCATTATATTGGTACAGGACAGGTGATCACGAAATGGTTGCCATATATTGTAAAACTTATCAAGGTTATCGATAACTCTGTAACGGACTCTTTCCATGTGCAATATTTGAGTGAGATAAATTACCCATGTCTTAAATTGAGGAATAGAATCTGATTTCCACAGTTTTAAAATGACACACTTGGCAATATTTATTTAATAAATTATGGTGCTTTATATGTGAAAATGTTTTATTTTATTTTAACTAATGACGTAATAATGAAATTGACAGTGTATTAAGGGGTCCTCTCTTATCACATGCTTTTGGCTGATGTGGTAAATTTGATTTAATTAGGTTAATTAGGGTTAATTTTGGTAACACTTTTCAGTATGGTTCCATGGTTTCGCAGTGGGGTAGCATGATCGCCTCCCAACAAGAAGGTTGCTGGTTTGAGCCTCGGCTGTGTCAGTTGGCATTCCTGTGTGGAGTTTGCATGTTCTCCCCGTGTTAGCATGGGTTTCCTCCGGTTTCCCCCACAGTCTAAAGACATGCAGTACAGGTGAATTGGGTAAGCTAAATAGACCATAGTGTATGTGTGTAAATGTGTGTGTATGTTTTCCAGTAATGGGTTGCAGCTGGAAGGGTATCCGCTGCGTAAAACATATGCTGCATGAATTGGCGGTTCATTCTGCTGTGGTGACCCCTGATTAATTAAGGGACTAAGCCGAAAAGAAAATGAATAAATAAATGAATGAATAATATTATTAAGTTTATTTATTTTATTTATTATTATTTTTATAATTATTATCATTACCAAGTTAGTGTTAATTCCAAAACAACTTTTGAATTAGGAATATATTAAATAGATATTATTTAATGGAACTGGGTTAACATGAGCTGCTTGTGAACAGCTGTGTTCATAACTAACATTAAGAAAGATTAATACACTAATGGATGTATTTCTCATCATTATTTAATACAATAAGTAATGTTTACTAATAAACCTTATTATATAGTTTTACCCTTTTAAAAAAGAGAAAAAAACTAATTTTGCCAAATGTGAATATTATTTCCAGTAGACTTCATCATTCAGTAGACATATATATATATATATATATATATATATATATATATATATATATATATATATATATATATATATATATATATACACACATATATACATACAGTTGAAATCAGAATTATTAGCCCCCTTCGATTTTTTTTTTCTTCCTTTTAAAATATTTTTCAAATGATGTTTAACAGGGCAAGGAAATTTTCACAGTATGTCTGATAATATTTTTTCTTCTGGAGAAAGTCTTTTTTGTTTTATTTCGGCTAGAATAAAAGCAGTTTTTAATTTTTTATGAACCATTTTAGGGGCAAAATTATTAGCCCCTTTAAGCTATATTTTTTTCGATAGTCTACAGAACAAACCATCATTATACAATAACTTGCCTAATTCCCCTAACCTGACTAGTTAACTTAATTAACCTAGTTAAGCCTTTAAATGTCACTTTAAGCTGTATAGAAGTGTCTTGAAAAATATCTAGTCAAATATTATTTACTGTCATCATGACAAAGATAAAATAAATCAGTTATTAGAGATGATTTATTAAAATTATTATGTTTAGAAATGTGCTGAAAAAAATCTTCTCTCCGTTAAACAGAAATTGGGAAAAAAATAAACAAGCGGTCTAATAATTTAGGGGGGCTAATAATTCTGACTTCAACTGTATATATATATATATATATTTATATATTTATATATATATTTATATATTTATACATATATATATATATATATATATATATATATATATATATATATATATATATATATATATATATATATATATATATATATATATATACCTTTACTAATCCCCAGGGATTCATGGAATCATTAATAAAATGTTAACTTTTCTTCACATATTGTAAGGGTCACAGCACACGAAATGAGGGCAGGAAGGGAATGCGACTTAAGCACCCTGCAGTTTCTTCTGTTTTGGGGTGCAAAATTATTTCAGCTGTGAGCAGTTGCGCAAAAAGCCTGTCCCCATTGCTCTCGAGATTTCTCCCCCAAGAAAAAAGAAATTAAGTAGTTTTTCCTTCTATTCATCCAACAAATGTTCTTTTAGATTAGATATCTAAACTGCAGTCTTTTATTTTACAGACATTCAGGGTTACATGTCTACGCAGCCAATGCTTAGTTTCTGTTAAAATAGCATTGGAGTCAGTTAATGTCTTCAAAAGTAATTGATAAAACTAGTATTTTCACATAGTTGAACACTCACAAATGCAATTTAAATTAATGTTACCAAAACCAAAAATCTTTTGAGCATTTCAAACTCCATAAGGTTCTCTAGTAAATTTGAGTCTATTCTCTGTTTGTATTACACTAGAGAGTTGTAAATGGCCACAGATGTGATCTCAACCACACCTTGCTGTGCAAAACTGGACACTTACAGTATTCCAGTGTTCAACATCATTTAAAAGCCTCTGTGCCAGTGTAAGAGCTGGAACAAACAGATGGCGCTGAACAAAGACTGTTCACTCATTGCTGTTTTTGACCTTTACTTGTTTCAGTCGCCACTCTGTTCTCAACTTTGTTTGTGTCTCTCTGGAATCAATGTTTTGACAGATGTTTGCTTCGTTTGCAGTGACATGGAAATACAGCATGATCCAGATTTGCAGTTCAAACTGGCTTATTCAGATGCTCAAAGTAATGAAACAGGCTTGAAAACCCAAATAAGGGGCCAGTGGTCCAGCAAAGTGGAGTTTATCTTAGCCGTCGCTGGCCAGATCATTGGGCTGGGAAATGTTTGGAGATTTCCATATCTGTGTTATAAGAATGGAGGAGGTTTGTATGAGTTTAACTGCATAGGAAATTAAATTTACTAAACAGAACAAACTAAAAACAGCTGCATTTTTCTGTTTTAGGAGTGTTTTTTATTCCATATGTGGTCTTTTTGTTTGCCTGTGGCATTCCTCTCTTTCTAATGGAAACTGCATTGGGTCAGTACACCAGCCAGGGTTCTGTCACCTGCTGGAGGAAGATCTGCCCACTGTTTGAAGGTGAGTTAGCAATGTGCAGTAAATATTGTTAGATGTCAGCCATAGCTTTGTATGTTTGTTTGCCCTTAGTTGTAATTGTAAACTGTGTATATTGAAATAGCGAGCAATAGTGGTCTGAAATGTGAGAAGCTTCCTGTTTGTGCAGGTTTTGAAACGAAGGTTGAACTATCATGTGAGCGTGTTTGATTTAAATATCAGCAGATTTGTTAGCCAATGAGTCAGGATCGTCTTATGTACAGAACTGATATCACTCCAAAAAGATTTGCTTCTGCTTTCATGAAGCCTCATGTTATGACTTAAGGAAAAGAGTCACGTGAAGTTGAAAAACATCCTTAATGTGTAAATTTCACTGTTTTAGCAGTTTTTTAAAGCTGACTTTAGTTTTTGTGAAATGTGCAGTTATTCCTATTTATTATAATATTGTAATAAGATATCAAAAGTAATATTTGTAAGTAAGATAACAGTGGTGGTATTGTTGTTGTTGTGTTATTATTATTATTATTATTATTAGAATTATTATTATTATTATTATTATTGCAAGATAAAAAATAATAGGATTGCTATTGTGATTAATAAAAGGTTAAGGTTAATAAAAGATTTAAAGGTTATTTAACCAAAATTGTAAGGGAAACAATGTGTAAAATACTTAAACACTTACAGAAAGTTCAAAAGGTTTTGCACCTAACAGGTTAACTTTTGTACGCTTTACCTCTTAAGGCCAAAGGTGTTTTTTTACATGCATTTTAGATTTCTCTTTGCTATTTGGGCTTATTGGAGCCTAATTAGAATTAAAACCCTTAGTATCATCATTTGATATGATGTACTTTTAGTGAAAAATGATGTCCATATATGTACACTCGTGGTCTGAATTTCCATAAAACAGTTTTTCCTGACTGTTTTTTTAATGCATCTATAACGCATACATTTTTTAACATGTTTTGACTATCAGAGAGTAAAAACAACATTTTTTGCCCATTTTGGACTGTTACAAATAGTGTTTGGGACAGTTCATATGCTGCAAAACGGATGACACTGCATGTCTGTAACAAAATATAAAACATTCAAAGTACTTTAAATAGCCACTTATGTCCACGTATGTGGCCACTAAGCCCTAGGAGGTAGGGTACTAAGAGGTTCACATTTGTACTTTTTAGATATTAATATGTACCTTTAAGTTACAAATGTGAATTTGTTGGGTACAAAACTGTGGCTTTTTAAAAAGGTACTACTACCACCCCAGCAACCGGTTTATTGCCTTTATTGTCTGAGAGTGTATTTTAAAAAGATTAGGTTTCCACATGTTCAATTGAAATAATAATCCACAAAACAGGGATTACTGGTACTTATCCAAAGTTCAACCAGTAAAATACAACAGAAACATGCTTTTCCTGTTTGCTTAAATAAGATTAAAAGAAATTGCACAATTGCCTTTTACTTTCTGAAATCATTCCCACATACTAAAGTAAGTCATCCAGTAATAATCTGTTTGATGATTTTGTGAAGGTATACAGTAGTGTGTGATGCTATAGCATTCATGTAAATCAAGGCGATTAACTAAAAATCTGTTTTTTTTATGGAAAACAGTGACAAAAAATAAAGAAAAGCAATGATCGTAACACAATGAAAGATTACAACAAAAGTTCTAAAGTCAAAAATGAGTGTGGAGTGTAGATGACCTTGTTTTGGGGGACTTCCGCTCATCTGTGACTACAGGTCTTCACTAATCTCTCAGTGCTCTGCAGTGATCTTTATCTGCTCTTATTCAGTCTTTTCCACAGTTTAGCTGACTGTAGTAGAGGCTTAGCGATATTTTTAAACAAATAGTTTTTTTTTACTTTTTAAAGTCTATCAGGTTTAGATCAGGACCCTAGGCTGCCATTCATTTTTTTCCACTGATTTCAGCTTCTAGAAACTAAATTTTTTATATTATTATTATCATTATTTATTTTTTTATTTTTTTGACCCATAAAAATTGCTGGCTAGGCAATGAACACAGGAAAAGAACCAGAAGTTGAAAAACATTTGCATTCACTCTGTCTTGCAAACTCAGACTACACCAACTTACATTCTACCTTTACTGACATCTACACTTTGTATTCAGTCTTTCTTTCCCCAGATTGATGATGAACATAATGTTTCCAATCAGACACAAATAAATTAAACTGGTTTCTATCACTAAAATTATCTTTGGACCAGTTTTTTGGTCCACACAACATGCTTCTCAGCAAAATACAGTCTTTTGATTTCTTTATTTGATAAGAAGTTCGGTCTACAGTGTTTTCTGTCCAAACTCTTCAATATTAAGACATGTCTGTCAAGATTCTTACCCTTTTCAAGGCTGAACTGTGAGTATTTCCAGCTGCAGACATAAACTCTTTGTCCATTAAGATGTTCCACAATTATTAGCTTTTCTTGCATACCTAAATGAGTTTATGACATTGTAAATGTACAATATTTACAGATATGGAATTACTAACTTATCTTGCTATGACTGAAAAGGGTCGTTCTTTTGGTCTTCATCTGGAAAACCTGCTGTCTGGGAGTTTTAGTCACTTTCGAATGGCTCAAACTGAAAAAGTCTACTGCCAATTAAATAGGGTTTATTTGTATAGTTAAGGAATCTGAAAGTGATCTCAAATTTTTTAGTGTCTATTCAACTTTTTAAAACTGCTTCAGAATACCATGAAAATCTTTCAAAATTAGTCATTTGATCTTAGCTGTGTGTAAATTCATAATTATTCAGTATTAGCGAATATCATTTAATATTTCTATTAACCTATATGACTTTGAAGCTAAATATTTAAATCAACTAACTTTGAATTAAACCCTGTTCAGATACTGTCAGCAACAGTAACAGCTGAAAGGGCCCTAATTGTTTTGGCTTGCTGTCCTTTTAGGCTTGGGTTATGGCAGTCAGGTGGTCGTCTTGTATTCCAGTGCCTACTACATCATCATTTTGGCCTGGGCATTCTTCTATCTGTTCTCTTCTTTTAGTGGGGAACTACCATGGGCAAGCTGCAGGAACTGGTGGAATTCAGGTACGTTTTATCAAAGTAGTTTTTAAATAACTTTTTTAATAGATCTCTTTCACTAAAACTTATTTTCCTTTCATTTTATAGAGAACTGTGTCGAGTTTGACAGAATGCAGGGGGCAAAAAACCTGAGCTTTATGGCTAATGCATCATCACCTGTTAAAGAGTTTTGGGAGTGAGTTTGTAAAATACTGAACATATTATATTGTATTGTATTGTAATGCTTTATATCACACAATATTACATAGCAAGTAATAAGTTTGGGCAATTATGAACATTTGGCATCTCTTAATTAAATCCTAATGAAAAACTTGGCAGTATGAGGCATATTTAAAATAAAAATGACATAAATTAAGGTCCCCCTTACAATAAACTATTGTGTGCTATCATTGAAATGAATAATTGTTTACATTACATGTTTTTACATTGTACTTAAATATAAAAATACCTGCATGTAATAAATTTCTCTAATACATTTGTAAATCTATAACCTTACATAAGCAGCTATTAAAGTGTTAAAGTTTGATAATTGTGAATGAGTGAAATATTACATTTGTTACATAAATATGGATGTGTATTTCTGAGAATTACATAGAGTGTGTTTTGCAGGAGGCGAGTATTGAATATAACTGGAAGTGTAAATGAGCTGGGAAGCGTGAGATGGGAGCTGGCTCTGTGTCTCCTGTTGGCCTGGGTCATATGTTATTTCTGTGTGTGGAAAGGAGTGAAGTCCACAGGCAAGGTGAGAACTAAAAAAAAAAAAGATATTTGCATTACCCTAGATCTCACTGGTTCTGTTTGTCATGGCTATTGACGTAGTCCAGTTTATGCTGTTGACATACTTTGCCTTGTTTGAGATTCAGCATACAAGATTTCAGTGTCGATTGTCTTTATCTTTCAGGTTGTGTATTTCACTGCTACATTTCCATATGTTATGCTGATGGTGCTTCTGATTCGAGGTCTTACGTTGCCTGGAGCCATTGATGGCATCACTTTCTACCTCTATCCAAACCCAGCTCGCCTTGCTGATCCACAGGTAAAAAAATCAGCTAGTACAGAATTACATTAGGTATTTTCTAACGAAATGCACAATGTTTCGTCAGTAGGTCTACTTTTTGATTAAAACAAATACACTCACTATTTATACATCTGTGGGCAAGAATAAAATATATTTTAAATGTATTTTTTCTAATATTCCCCTTTCATAATAGCAGCAATGTTGAGATCTTATGACCAGCCCAATGCCACTCATTTGATCTTTGTGAAATTCTTATTTTTCAACTTTAGTATTGGACATTTTCATTTAGAGAATAAAAAAAAAATTGGTGATAAGTTTTTGCACCTGAAAAAACCCTGTAAAGTTCTGCCTTGTTTGCATAGTAAGAAGCCATGTCATTCTGAAACTTTGCATATAGAAAGCTGATTTATGGCAATGTATACAAATTGCATTTGACATACAGCGTCATCTTTGGATTTCACATACATACATACATGCATACATACATTTATTGATTTGTTTGTTTTTATTTTGAAAGATTGCAGAAATGGCTTTTTACATATATATTTTTTTCAACCATTACAATTACAAATATGCACATACACTCACTGGCCACTTTATTGGGTACACCTGTCCAACTGGTTGTTAACACAAATTTCTTATCAGCCAATCACATAGCAGCAACTCAATGCATTTAGGCATGTAGACTGGTCAAGACGATCTGCTGCAGTTCAATCCAAGCATCAGAATGAGTAGGAAAGGTGGTTTAAGTGACTTTGAATGTAGCATGGTTGTTGGTGCCAGATGGACTGGTCTGATTATTTCTGAAACTTCTGATCTACTGGGATTTTCATGCACAACCATCTCTAGGGTTTACAGTCCGAAAAAGAGAAAATATCCAGTGAGCAGCAGTTCTGTGGACACAAATGCCTTGTTGATGCCAGAAGTCAGAGGAGAATGGCCAGACTGGTTTGAGCTAATAGAAAGGCAACAGTAACTCAAATAATCACTTGTTACAACTGAGGTATGAAGAAGAGTATCTCAAAATGCTCAACATGAGAACCTTGAGGGGGATGGGTTACAGCTGCAGAAGACCACACCAGGTGCCACTCCTGTCTGCTAGGAAAAGAAAATTGAGGCTACAATTCGCACAGGGTCAGCAAAATTGGACAATAGAATATTGGAAAAACGTTGCCTGGTCTGATGAGTCTTGACTTCTAGTCAACACCACAACCTACCTGGGTATTGTTGCTGACCATGTCCATCTCTTTATGACCACATTGTCCCCATCTTCTGATGGCTACTTTCAACAGGATAACACGCCATATCATAAAGCATAAATCATCTCAGACTGGTTTCTTGAACATGACAATGAGTTCACTATACTCAAATGGCCTTCACAGTCACCAGAACTCAATCCAATAGAGCACCAAATCTGCAGCAACTGCGTAATGCTATTATGTCAATAGGGACCAAAATCTCTGTGGAATATTTCCAGTACCTTGTTGAATCTATGCCTCTAAATCTAATCTAAATTATTAAGGCAGTTCTTAAAGCAAAAGGGGGTCCAACCTGGTCCTTAAAAATTGTATCTAATAAAGTGGCCGATGAGTGTATGTTCAATTCGATCATCATTTACTCACCCTTTACTTGTTCCAGATCTGTTTGTTTTTCTTCTGTTGGTCACAAAAGAAGATATTTTGGAGAAAGATGGAAACATGTTGTCATTGACCTTATTAGCATTTGTTTCTCCCACTATGAAAGTTAATGGTTACAGGTTTTCAACTTTCTTCACAAAATCTTCTTTAGTGTTCAAACCTCATAAAGGTTTTGAACAACTTGAAATTCAGTAAATAGTGAATACGTCTTTTTGTTTTTGGGTGAACTATCCCTTTAACTTGTATATATTTATCTATGGAATTGGAGCAGATTCTTAACATGCCATGTATTGATAAACATCTAATTGATTGTTAAGTGATTGTGAACTTTTTCTTGCCTTTGTTAGGTGTGGATGGATGCAGGAACACAAATCTTTTACTCTTACGCTCTTTGCATTGGGTGTCTTACAGCTTTGGGAAGCTACAATAAGTACAATAACAACTGTTATAAGTAAGTAAACCCAAGCATGCCTACAAAAGATTGTTCTAAACTTCATTCCAGTGTTAAGGAATTTGGAGTATTATAAATAAACCACTGCATGCCCATGGTTGGTCAGTTACATATAACAAACCAAAACAACCAAATCTCTATTTAAGGAATTTCCACACAACAAAGTATATGATTATAATGCTCACAAAAGTACAGTGCTTTTTGAAAAGGTTTGATCAATTCTAGTACAAACGTTTGGTGAATCATGATTTGTTTGCCATTTCTAATTATAGTGAGTGTGGAATTATCCTCTTTAAATGTCTGTGGGACTTACAGTCAATGCTTCATTCTGATTACTTTGAGCTTTGACAGCATGATGTGTTTCTCTTGCAGAGACTGTGTGTATCTGTGCTTGCTGAATAGTGGAACCAGTTTTGTAGCTGGATTTGCCATCTTTTCAGTTTTGGGCTTCATGGCCTTGGAACAGGGAGTTGATATCTCAGTGGTTGCAGAGTCAGGTAATTTAAAAACAAATCAGTTGTTGTTGTTTTTTTAATTTCAGTTTTTTTAGTTTCTGTTTATTTCATAACATATTAAAGCAATCATATCTCTTAAGAAGACATTAAATCTGCTAAGTTCATATGAATGGATTTTTTCTGTTTACAAAACAAGATTTTGTGTTAACAGACTTTAAATGACACGAAATCGCTTTGATTTAATCAACAATAGCTTAACGATTGTTATTTTGGGTTTAAATTGACATGAGATTGAGTAAATGATGGTGAAATTGTCCTGCATGAATATTGTGTAATATATATACAGTTGAAGTCAGAATTATATTAATATTTTCCCCAATTTCTGTTTAAAGCAAATATTTTTTCAACACATTACATAAACATAATCGTTTTAATAACTAATTTATGAAATATAAGTTTCTCCATAGAGCTCATTTAACCAATGGCAAATTAGCAAAAAAAAAAAAAAGATTCATGATGGAAGTGATGCCTGTCATCGCTGTAAACAGTCTTCTGCCAACCATCATTTCTGGTCAAGGGTTTTTAATACACTTAATGAAGCTATTTACATAAATCTAGACCCTAAGCCCTTGACATTTTTGGTATTTCAGAGAGACTTGACTGTTGCATCTTGCCAGGTTATTGCTTTTGCTACTCTTTTAGCTAGACAAGCCATTCTTATCAAGTGGAAACAGTTAATTCCTCCATCACATGACATGTGGATCCAAGAAATCTTTAGCTCCACAAAATTTGAAGTTAAGATGTTTACTTGCAGGATCCTGTTTTAGACTATATCAAAGGCTTATGCTGTTCAGTTGATATCAGCGCTAATACACAGTAAATAACTGAAAAGAGGAAATATTGACTCCTTAAAGCAAACTTTTAATTTTTTTCTTTCCTTTATTTCTTTTTTAACTTTTATTGTAAAGTTGCTCTATTATTCCTTTTTTATTTTATTTTAAATTTGTTTTTTTTATATATATATATTTTCTCTCAGAGGATATGTTTGTTAATAATTCATACTTTCTATTTATTTTATTTTGAGGGCATAAAATAATAATATTTGACTAGAAATCAGTATTCAGCTAAAAACACAACATGAGTTTAAAGGCTTAACTAGGCAAGTTAAGATAATTCGCCAAGTCATTGTATAATGATGGTTTGTTCTGTAGTGTAGACAATCAAAAAAAACATATTGCTTAAGGGAGCTAATAATAATGACTTTAGGATAATTTTGAAAAAAATAAAAACTGCTTTTATTCTAGCCAAAAGATAAAGACTTTCTCCAGAAGAAAATAAATTATCAGACATACTGTGAAAAATCCTTGCTCTGTTAAACATTTTTGGGTAATATTTGAAAAAGGATATCAAATTCAAAGAAGAGCTAATAATTTCGACTTCAACTCTATATATACAAATTTTTTTTTATTAAACTTAAGTTCTTGTTTTGTCAGGCCCGGGTTTGGCCTTCATTGCATATCCACGGGCTGTAGCAATGATGCCCATGGCTCAGTTGTGGTCCATATGTTTTTTCCTCATGATAATATTGCTGGGCCTTGACAGTGAGGTGAGAGCAAATCATTTCTCAAATACACTTCTACCACCCTGATTAAGCTTTTTAACAGCAGATATTTCATATAGAACAACTATTAAGACCTTATACCTTGTATTATCTAGTTAAAACATCTATAGATTCTTAATCAAACAAAAAGTGCTCTGTGCTTTTTCTTAAATAATGTGTCGGTGCTTTTTGTGTAAGGTATTCATCAGAATAAACAGCAAAATTCAGTTCAAAGCACTTGAAAAATGTGCAAAAAAAATATTTTTTTTTATTCACATGGCTAATCCTTATAAACATATGTTTCTGCAAAGAACTTCCTTACCCTGATGAAGCCATGTGAACAGCCATGTGAATAAAGGCGCTTTAATGTTTTTTGCACATTTTCCGAGTGCCTTGAACTGATTTTTGCTGTTTATTCTGATGAATCCCCTAGATCAGGGGTCATCAGTCTTGGTCCTGGAGGGCCGGTGTCCCTGCAGGGTTTCGCTCCAACTTGCCTCAACTCACCTGCCTGGGTGTTTCAAGTGTACCTAGTAAGAGCTTGATTAGCTTGTTCAGGTGTGTTTGATAAGGGTTGGAGCGAAAATCTGCAGGACACCGGCCCTCCAGGAACAAGTGTGGTAACCACTGCCTTAGATAAAAGCACTGACACATTATTTAAGAAAAAGCACTGAGCACTTTTTCCACATTTTTCAAGTGGCTTGAACTGATTTTTGCTGTTTTGTCTATAGATCCTTGTTTAAAGACACTTGTTGCATCATACAATAAAATTCCACGGCATTCTCTTTCAGTTTGTAGGTTTGGAGTCTCTCATGACAGCCATAACAGACATGAACCCCAATTTCTTCCTCCAAGGACACCGTCGAAAACTATTCCTCCTCGTCATCTGTATAGCATGTTTCCTCATTGGCCTTCTGATGGTAACAGAGGTGATTATGCTCATAAAGTCTTATACATAATAATCTTTTACATTGTGTTATTTTAAATCTGGGATATTTATTGTTACCTTACTAATGCTGTCTGAATCAATCCATCATAAAAAATCTGTCATTTAAGTGGTGATCACTTTTTTTATATTGGTTGAATAGGGCGGCCTGTATGTCTTCCAGTTGTTTGATTACTATTCCTGCAGTGGAATGACCCTCCTGCTGTTTGCCATTGCACAGTCAATATGTATTGGCTGGTTTTATGGTGAGTAATAATACTAAATCTGCTCTTTAAAACACCAAAATTACACATTTACGTTTGGCCCTCTCTGCTGAGCAAATGCCAGATTATAGTGCTTTTGTCTGCTATTTGATCAGCGTTTTATAAATTAGTGCACTAATAATAAAAGACCGTACAATCATTTTAATAGAGCTTACTGTGCCATGGGAGGAGGGTTGTGAAGAGGCTCATGAAAGGAGGGCCTTAAAGTACACACCACTAATCCAAGAGTGGGAAAACAAAGGTTGGCAGGCATGGCTGTTTTCTGTGGAGGTAGGGTGTAGAGGCTTTCCTGCAAAGTCAGTATGGCGACTGATGTCAGCTTTAGGTATGGAAGAGAAGAGCAATAAACTTGCTTCTCGCAGGATGGGAGAAGAAGCAGAAGGAGCTTCATGCTGGCTATGGAGTATGAGAGAGGAAGAAAGCTGAAAGCCATGAGTAGATGGGCAGTGGCTTGGCCACTACTGCCGACCCACCAGCTGATTCAATTGAGCAGGAGAGGCGTAAGAAGAAGCATGGCAGTACAGATAGGGGAACCATCAGCTTTGTCAAGGAGGGGGTAAGGCCTGTCGCAGCTAGGGCAGTAGCTAAGGGTGCTTGGGATTTAAGAGTTGATGTTGGAAGAAAACTGCAGTTCCCAGAAGTGGTTCACACAGCTCTTCATCCAGGTTCATCCAAGGTTGACCGATTACATGATCCAGAATAAATATAATAACACTTCCATTCAGAAAGGTGGCATTCCTGTTTTTTTAGGCTGTTTCGAACATACATCAATGATCAGGCAGTTGATCCGAGAAGCCAAGCAGAACAAAGGAAACTTAACAGTGGTCTGGTTGGATTTAGCGAATGCTTATGGATCTATTCCTCATGACCTCATTCAGCTTGGACTCGACCATTACCATATTCCAGCAGGCATTCAAAGATTGGTCAGTAACTATCTAGGAGAGATTAAACTGAGGTTCACAACTGCTCAGTGGTCTACTAATTGGCAAGAACTGCAAAAAGGTATTTGTAGGAATTTCAACGGGGTGTACCATCTCTCCCATTCTCCTCATCATGGGCATGAATCTTCTATTAACAGCAACAGAAGGCATAACCGAGGTCCCGCACTGGAGTCAGGTGTGATACAGCCAGTGGTGCGAAGGTTTATGGATGACCTGACTAAAACAACTGTAACCCATGTTCAAGCAAGATGGGAAACCCTGAGAAGTGTATTCATGCGGGCTAGGCTGACATTCAAGGCCAGGACGTCCAGAAGCTTGGTCATCAGGAAGAGTAAGGTAACAAGCAAATTTGGCCTTTGTATTCAAGATCAGGTAATTTCGTCCATTAAAGGAGCCCTATAAATTTTTGGGGCAAGTGGTGCAATGCATCGCTAAAAGATACTACCAGTGTTGTATAGCTGGTGAAGAAAACAGAGGATTGGTTGAAGAAGATTGATGTATCCAGACTCCCAAGAAAGTTCAAATCTAGTATGGCCTTCTCCCCGTGCTACTTTGACTACTCTTAGTCTATGAGTTCCCTCTTGAGGCTGTGGAAGGCATTAAGAGGAAAATTAAAAGACACCTGTGGAGGTGGTTAGGGATACCCCCAAGCTTCTCCTCAGTTGGCCTCTACATTCGATCAGGGCAGTTGCAGCTACCTCTTTCATCTGTCATGGAGGAGTTTAAGGTAGCGAAATGTAGAGTCACACTAAGTCTGAGAGATACTAAAGATCGCCTGGTAAATCAAGCTGTCATGACAACAAGATCAGGGTAAAAGTGGGCTGTCAACACAGCCATCAAACAAGCAGAAAGCTCAATGAAGTTGCGTGACATTGTTGGTAATACCAGCATGGGACGTCAAGGTCTGGGGTCCTCACATTTCCAGCAGTTTGGAATTGCGAGTCCGGCAATCAGACAAAGTATGGTGCAGGCAGAAATTAGAGCTCCTGAGGAAAAAAAACTTGTCTAAAGCAGTGGAACAAGCATCTCAAGGAGCATGGACAAAGTGGGATCTGCCCAAATGGAAGATCACATGGGCAGAGTTATGGAGACTGGAGCCATACCGCATCTCCTTCTGGCTGCACTCTGTGTATGACGCCCTCCCATCACCATCTCATTTGCACATGTGGGGATCGTGAGACGACCCATACTGCAAGCTATGTGGCAAAAAGGGAACACTGGCACACATAATGTCAGGGTGTAAAACATCTTTAACCCAAGGTCGATATAGGTAACCTCATGACAAGGTACACTTGACCCTTGCTGATTCAATTGAGCAGGAGAGGTGCAAGAAGAAGCATGGCAGTACAGATAAGGAAACCATCAGCTTTGTCAAGGAGGGGGCAAGGCCTGTCACAGCTATGGCAGTAGCTAAGTCAAGCTTGCTGCAAGCCACAGACGCTTGGGAATTGGGAGTTGATGTTGGAAGAAAAACTGCAGTTCCCAGAAGTGGTTCACACAGCTCTTCGTCCAGGTATTGTCTTGTGGTCAGACAAAGACTGTAAAATCATTTTAATAGAGCTTACTGAGCCATGGGAGGAGGATTGTGAAGAGGCTCATAAGAGGAAGGCCTCAAAGTACACACCACTAATCCAGGAGTGTAAAAACAAAGGTTGGCAGGCATAGCTGTTATCTGTGGAGGTAGGGTGTAGAGGCTTTACTGCAAAGTCATTATGGCGACTGATGTCAGCTTTAGGCATGGAAGAGAAGAGCAATAAACATACTGCTTGCAGGATGGAGGAAGAAGCAGAACGAGCTTCATGCTGGCTATGGATTAAGAAAGGAGGAAAAGCTGGAAGCCATGAGTAGCTTGGCCACTACTGCCGACCCACCAGCTGGAGAGTGTTGTGGTAAAGGTCGAAACACTGAGGAAAGGTTGGGAACCACCTAATGACATCTACTTGTGGCAGAAAGCTATGGTTAGAGTAACCAAAGGAAGCACCAAAAAGGTGTATGTCACAATGTAATAAAATAGTATTGAAGTATTAGAAATATAGTGTAATCTCTTCTGTTTCGGAATTTGTCAGGCGCTGATCGACTGTATGAAAACATCGCAGACATGATCGGTTATCATCCACTGACTTTGATGAAGTACTGTTGGAAGTATATCACTCCTATTGTGTGTATAGTAAGTGCACTTTACTCTGATTCAAGGTAGTTTAATGAGTAAAACATGTTAATGTGTGGTAACATTTGATAGTTTTCAGCAATGCATTGTGAAAAAAAGCCAATTGCCAGAAATGCTGAATAGTTCATTTAAAACCGAGCAGATTTTCTGATGGTCATCGCATTAGATTTGCATAGCAAACACAAGCAAAACCTGCTTGGTGGCATTTTTTGCTAAATTCATGATTGGGTTAATTGCTTGGAATGACTGGATTTCACATTGTGAAATTTCAGACACCTTCACTGCACCTTAGACCAAGTATTTCTGTGTTATTAGTTAAGTTTTATACATTTGTTTTACATTAAAAAAAAATATTATATTCGGACTGCATTTAAAGAGATAGTTCACCTAAAAATGGAAAGTATGCCATTGTTTATTCATCAGTGACATTTTCTAACCAGTTTAAGATTTTTGTATTGTTATTCTGTTGAACACAAAAGAAAATATATTAAAGAATGTTGGAAAACTATAACAACTGATTGACTGGCTTTCATAGTTTGTTTACTGGTATCTCTTTTTGTGTATAAAAGAATAAAACAAAAACAACTCAAGCTACTTTGGAACAAGTCAAAGGTGAATAAATTATGAGATTCAAAAAGTCATCAAAACAACATTACATAAAATGTTTTCATTGGCAATAATAAAGAAACGCTACACTTTTTTCGTTTAGAAATAGGCTTGTTTTACAAGTCCTCGAGTTAAACAGTTGAGTTTTACCATTTTTAAATCCATTCAACCGATCTCCGGGTCTGGCAGGAGCACTTTTATCTTAGCTTAGCTTAGCATAAATCATTTAATTGGATTATACCATTAAGATCTCCCTCGAAGTTTTCAAAAAAAGAATTTTGATAATTTTCCTATTTAAAGTTGGACTCTTCTGTAGTTACATTGAGGCTGACGAAAAATGAAAAGTTGCTATTTTTTCTCGGCCAATATGGCTAGGAACCATTCCACATTGACATTACCTAGCTGGGAACTATTTTTAAGTTGATTATTACAGACGCATCAGCCTAGAAAATAGCAACTTTTCAATTTCTGCCAGTCTTAGTACATTATATAACTACAGAAGAGTCAAACATAAAATAAAATTTAAGTGAAATGCTTATGGTCTAATCCGATTTAATGAATTATGTTAAGCTAAGCTAGAAGTGCTCCACCAGACCCAGAGATTGGCTAAATGGGTTCATAATGGTAAGTCTAAGTGACTTTAGAGAAGGAACATTCCAGTTTTTTTTAATATAAAGTTCAACAACACATTTACCTGATGTTTTCAAAAAAAGTCACCCGAAACAACAGTACATAAAATGTGTTTGATTGGCAATAATAAGGAAACAACATATTTTTTAAAAAAAATTGTGCAACTCAGCTGTTTAACTATAGGGGACTTTCCCCTATATTTCCAAAAATAGGCTTGATTTACAAGTCCCCTAAAGTTAAACAGTTGAGTTTTGCCATTTTTTAATCCATCAACCTGCAGGTCTGGCAGGAGCACTTTTACCTTAGCTTAGCTTTGCATAAATCATTGAATCGGATTAAACCATTAGCATCTCGCTTAAAATTTTCAAAAACTAATTTTGATAATTTTCCTATGTAAATTTTGACTCTTCTGTAGTTACGTTGAGGCTAATGATAGATGAAAATTTGTTATTTTATGTCTTGGAACTATTCCACAGTGACGTTACCTAGATAGGAACTATTTACAACCTTGATTATGTCCGTGTCTGGAAGGAGCACTTTTATCTTAGCTTAGCATGAAGCATTGAATCGGATTAGACCATTAGCATCTCACTCAATTTTCAATAAAGTATTTGAATAATTTTTCTATTTAAAGTTTGACTCTTCTGTAGTTACAATGAGGCTGATTAAAAATAAAAGTAGCTTTTTTTAGTCCAATTTGGCTAGGAGCAATTTTACAGCAACGTTACCTAGCTAAGAACTATATTCAAGCTTGATTATTACAGACATATTTTCAATTTCTGCCAGTTTTAGTGCATGATGTAACTACAGAAGAGTCGAACTTAAAATAAATTTTGTGCGAGATGCTAATGGTCTAATCCGATTCAATGATTTATGCTAAGCTAAGCTAAAAGTGCTGCCACCAGACCCATAAACTGAATGGGTTCAAAATAGTACATCTATGTGGAAAAAAGTATTACTTTTAACTGTTTAATCGGTATAACAATACTAAGTAATACTACTAACACTAGTAATCCAATAAATATTTTGGCTTCTTAGGGCACATTCATCTTCTCTTTAGTCAAATTCACTCCTCTGAAGTTCAACAACACATATGAATACCCCTGGTGGGGTTACGCTGCTGGCTGGTGGTTCACCCTCTCGTCAACATTATTGGTTCCCATATGGATGATCTACGCCATCCTCGTCACTCCTGGCACACTGAAACAGGTAACCCAAACATTTAACCCTAAATTACATTTAGAAGCCACGTTCGAGCAATCGGTTAATCTTTTCCAACTGTATGCCTTTCAACTTTTTTTAGAGACTACGTGTCCTTTGCACTCCAGCAAGTGATCTACCTTTGACATCCGAAAGACCAAAAGAAACCCTGTGACCACAAGCAAAAGTACAGCGTGTTCTATGACTGATAAGAAAACAAATCCTTGGGCTGTATTTAGGATAACTTTTGATATCAATATGTTTTCGGAGATTCTCATGAGACCTCAAGAAGCCAACACAAACTGTACATGACTGTTTTTATCATGTTTGATTGTTAGTTTCTCAGTTCCAAGCATCTAAATGTTGATCGCCTTAATCTGGAGATGAGCACAAGCACATCGGTTATAGATAGCTGTATTTGAAGGAAAACTCAGTTGGACGTCATCTTTAAGTGTGATAGTGGCACTGACTTGTTGTATCATAAACTGTCAAGATAACAGTGGAAATGTGGAAACGATTATCATGAGGACCAGCACAATTTTGGATGGACCAATGGTGTGTGAGTGGTAAATGTGTTGTTTTCTGTCACATAGATGGTTTGTAATGGTTTAACCAGAGTGAATCACTTCAAAATGATGCCAATTAGTGTTGACAGTGTTAACAGTATTTCATAATAGTAGGATTTCCTTACATTTTTAATTGTCAGTCATGCAGATTTCATGAAAACAAATCATTTACAGAAAGTGAATTATGTTGGCCTTATCGTATTACATATTTTACAGTATTTGCTCTGCGTTTTCTTGAAAAATAGATTTCTATTTTGCTACCTAAATATGCGTAGTTGTACAGTGTTTATATTTTAGTAAATGGTGTAATTTAAAAGGATATCTGTAGGTCACTTACGTTTATGTACATGACTTAGAACGGTTTTAATAAATGCTTTTTAAATTAAATGACTGCAAATGATTGCTGGCTGTTCCTGAAGCATCTGAGCAAATATCAGACAACTAGGTGAAAGGTGAAGGCAGGATTTCTTGGATTAAAATTGCTAGAGGATGACATTAGACACTCATTGTCATCAGGCGTGACTTACTGTGGGTTCAGTGCTGTTTTGTCTTCATGTGATTTACATGTTAAACATTGTGGTTGATTAGAAAGTGTTGCTAATATGACAGAAAATGAAAACTCTACATTTTACTATGGCTTTTTGTCATGCACACTTTGAATTATAAGTGTAGGTGATTCCATTTATGTCAAGGTTAAACTAAAACTGATTTGTGATTTGTGTGTGTTTTTAAAATTTTCAAGAGTGAAAATACAATGACCTTTTTTAAAAGCACAACTGGGTTAAAGGCTAAAGACCTCTATCTCCAAATACACTTTGTGGCCAACAAAGCCACCCAAATATTGTTTGTTTGGCAGAGGATGAAAGCAGCAGAATATTTGCTCTGCCAAAAACTGTTCCCGGGAACAGAGAGGGGAAAGATTTCTTGTGATGTGGTTAGTAAAATGGGCCAATTACAAAAGACATTTATTTAAGAATTAAGCCTGTACTGATTTTGTAACTCATTCATTCATTTTCTTTTTGGTTTTATCCCTTTATTATTTAGGGGTCGCCACAGCTGAATGAACTGCCAACTTATCCAGCATATGTTTCACACAGTAATGCCCTTTCAGCCGCAACTCAACACTGGGAAACTGATTTTGGAACTATATACTGTACAGTTGAAGTCAGAATTATTAGCCCCCCTAATTATTTTTTTCCTTAATTTCTGTTTAATGGAAAGAAGATTTTTTCAGCACACTTCTTATCATAATATTTTTAATAACTCATCTCTAATAACTGATTTTTTTTATCTTTGTCACGATGACAATAGATAGTATTTGACTAGATATTTTTCAAGACACTTCTTTACAGCTTAAATTGTCATTTAAAGGCTTAACTAGGTTAATTAGGCAGGTTAGGGTAATTAAGCAAGTTATTATTGTATAACAATGGTTTGTTCAGTAGACTATCGAAAAAAAATATATAGGTTAAAGGGGCTAATAATTTGTCCTTAAAATGGTGTTTAAAAAAATGTTTTTTTTTTATCCTATCCAAAATAAAACAAATAAGACTTTCTCAAAAAGAAAAAAAATAATATCAGACATACTGTGAAAATTTCATGAATTTGTAAAGCATAAAAAAAATCAATGGACGGCTTTCAACTATGTGTGTGTGTGTGTGTACATATATATATATATATATATATATATATATATATATATATATATATATATATATAAAGAGAGAGTGCTTAATGAAATGTAAAAGTGGACTGACAGACATTTTTTGCTATTTCTGCTGAGAATTTAAAAAAAAAATTCGGAATGATTTTGGAAATATTACTGAAATCTTAACATGAAATAAAAATAATTATTATTTTACTTTTATTTTATTAGTCTCTCGAAAAATATATCTACTAAAAGACAGAAAATAATGCTTTACAAACTATTGTAAATAAATCATATGAAGATTTTAATAGTACTATTATTATATCACAATTATATTAGTGTAATAGATTTAAAATCTGAATAAAATAAATTTATACACTTTTACATAAGTAAACAAATAGACTCAACGATGGGCTAAAAATCTGTGGAAATCTGCGGATTTCTGCATGTGCAGATGCCGTGTGGGCCCACTGACAAGTTAACTATAACACTGCTGTTCAAATAGCCTATTTGTGGTAAGAATTATTTAAAATGTGTTTATTTTTATTTTTTTTTAAATCATAATGATCAAGGATGATTTTATTCTATTAAAATAAGTTTTAAAAAAAATAACATGAGGGCGACATGGTGGCTCAGTGGTTAGCACGTCTCACAGCAAGAAGGTCGCTGCTTTGAGTCCCGGCTGGTTCAGTTGACATTTCTGTTTGTAGTCTGCATGTTCTCCCCGTGTTGGCGAAGGTTTCCTCCAGGTGCTACGGTTTTCCCCACAAGTCCAAAGACATGTGCTATAGGTGAATTGAAAAACTAATTTGGCCGCAGTGTATGAGTGTGAATGAGTGTGTTTTCCATGGTTGCAGCTGGAAGAGCATCCCCAGCACGTGTAAAACATATGCTGGATAAGTTGGCGGTTCATTCCAATGTGACGACCCCTGATGAATAAAGGGACCAAGCTGAAGGAAAATGAATGAATAAAAATAACATTGTAGTTCAATAACAGTGGGCTATATGCATGCACACAGACTATTCATTTCAGCCATCTGCCTCAGCGCTTTCAGTATTTCCATCATAAAATTACCACGTTTAAGGTCTGATTTCTTTAAAAATTAGTTGGGGGGGGGGGGGGGGGGGGGGTTGCTGTATGAAATCCAAAGGTTTACATTCTTAATCACCTGTTTCTAAATGGTCTGTCTCAAAGTGCGGGGGACTTATCCAGCTGCAACCCAAAACTGGGAAACACCCATATACACGGACAATTTAGCTTTCTCAATTCACCTATAGCGCATGTCTTTGGAATGTGGGGTAAACCAGAGCACCCAGAGGAAACCCACTCAAACTGGGGAAGAACATACAAACTTCACACAGAAATGCCAACTGAGCTGGCTGGGGCTCGAACCAGCAACCTTCTTGCTGTGAGGCGATCGTGCTACCCACTGAGCCACCAGGACGCCCCAGAACAAATTATTATGTCTAGAAATGTGCTGGGGAAAAAATATACAGGAAGCTAATAATTCAGAATGGCTAATATTTCTGACTTCAACTGTACTGTATATGCAAGTAAATTCACTACACCAATGACACACACAACACTGAATAGTTTATATATATATATATATATATTTATTGACAGGCCTGCTGTAATGCATCAAACTGTAAACAGAAAAAGTTAACAAACAGTTTTTTTTATTATTATTATTATTAAAACTGTCTAAAACATGGGAAACATACTGAAAACATGCAAACAACACTAGTTAGTATTTGATCAAACGAACAAGCGGGTCTGAAAAGAACAGTTGAAATATTCCTATCTCATCAAAAGATCTGTCTAAAAAGCATCTGCACTGAAATGGAAAAAATATAGAACTTCAGTCAAGTAAATCTACCAGGGTTTGCAGGTTGAAACTAACTGGTCCCGAATTGTAGGACGATCCCAGGTTTGCAGTAAATAAGCATGCACAAGTCTCTCAAAAGTATCAAATGAATAAAAAGCAGTGTGTTTGTGAACGTGGGCCTGCTGCGACTCCATGATAAACACAGCTGGGAGATTCGCAAATAGTTTCTGTTTTTTCCCCAAAGGGACGATTGCACTTTTAGGTCCAGCTACTCACTATGCTCATCTAAATATCGCTTAAACAAAAATATCATACAAAAAAATAATAATAATAATAATAAAACGTCAAGCCTTCAGTACACGACTCAAACTTGAACTCCTAATTTGCACAAAGTGGAGACTGAATACTGTACAGTACATGATAAGGGTACACAGCTGTATTCAAGTCTGTTATGCGATATAACATTAAACCTTTAGCTTTCGCCATCGATTAATGCAGCGGATGAATGCCAGTCGGAGAGCTGAAGCGTGCAGCATAGAGCTTTTACAGGTGGTCACAGAATTGTGCGCTTTGGTTTTTCTGTTGTTGGTAGGAATGTCTTTAAGGTTTGCAGCTCCTCCATGTCCGTGAACCTTTATTAGGATCTTTCCCAGAGTTTGTCCGAGAGATGATGAGGTCAGGGTGTAAAAGGAGGGCACGTCCATGCCTCTACCCATGTCCCCCTGTCATGACTCAAGTCGAGAACGGGCCGGCCATTCCCACAGTCTCGCGCCTCCAGAGTCAGATGAGGAGTTTTAGGAGCCGTCCTGACTGAGCCGAGCTCTCTTTAGACCCTGCTTATTCTGATCGGAAATAACGCTCTCTTCTTTTTTGCGTTTCAATCGACACACCTGTGAAAAAAAGAGATGAGGAGATGTTTTAAACGATAAAGATATTTGTAGTTTCTACTTAGTTAAAGGCCCCTATGATGAAAAGCATCTTTTGGAAGCTGTATAGTGTGTCCACTGTCATATTGAAGGGATAGAAACACAATAAGTTTCTTTTTTAAAAATTTCCTGATCGTAAAATATAATCCAAATCCCTCCCATTTTGAGGCTGACTGTAATGTGACTTTGGAGTGGTTTCCCCACCCACCAAATTGATTGACAGCCGGGTATTAACATGTCTCTGTAGTAACGTGTATAATCATATCAAGACAGGACGTGTGCAAAGCAACTAGGATTAAAAGATCTGTTCAGCTCTCTGTGATCATCAATCATTATCAAATGTGATCAAGAATCAGTTTCGCAAGTTTAAAACGTTTTTAAAATAGTGCATGTTTGAAATGAATTACAGCGATTTTACCGTCTTTATCACAACAGCCGCTTGTCAGTGCAATTATAAAAGAAGATGCTTCAATCCCGGATTTTGAACATTAATATAACGAATATCCATAGAGCCGATATTATCTTGTATCTTTTTAAATTTGCCATGCAAAGTTAAACGTACGCGCTGTGTGTGTGTCCCCGCTGTGTGTGAACTTTGTAATGTCATAGAGTATTACTCATCGTTGCAGAAAGGCTTGAACAAGAAATACATCAAATACTCATTGGGAAAGTTCTGACTGGAGTATTTCTCATAAACGTTACGTGAGATCTGCTTCCTTTTTGTCTGTTACTGTGTTGTTTATCTGAAGCAGCCGGACTGATTGAGGCACACTCTAACAGGCACATGGGATCAGTGGGCGGGAAGAATAGCATTAATGGCACAGGCGACATAAACAAATATACGGTGTTCAGAGCAGAAAATCCACACTTCTGAAAGGTATAATAAATCATCTGATGGGTGTTTTGAGCTGAAACTTTACAGGCACATTCTGGAGACACAAAAGACTTAACTTAAATCTGGAAAAAGTCGTAAAACAGGTGCACTTT